AAAGAGTGGAACTGCATGCGATATAAGTTCATCAAAATTAATTATCTTAAACATGGTATTATGTAATCGTGATGAATTATCATTCTCTTGCAACGCTACGGCAACACAGTGTTGCGAATCGAGTAAAGTTTCTTCAAACAACCAATTTTGTTTAATCCCATTGATATACAAGACTGTATCGGTTGTGATTGAATCTTCGCTTAACTCCGAATTGGTTCGAAAATCAATACTCCTTAGATCAACAACAATCCCCACACCAAGTGCTTTAACATAACTCTCTTTTAATGCCCAGTGTCTGCAAAACATAGATATTTGTTCCGTTTCAGATTTTTCTGAAGCAGAACCTCTGATCTCTTCCCATTCGGCTGACGAAAAAGGTCTATTCATTAAACGAAAATATTCGGAGACACCGAAATCACATATTCTGTTCCTGGTATATTCTAATGTCATAACGTCTACTCCTAATCTTATATCCCTAATCTCGCCTGCTAAAACCGTATAAAATCCTTGATGAGAAACATTAAAACTTACAACAGCTGAATTATCTTTTAATACCGGCTTATTGTGTTCAGTTCTAACAAAAACAATTTTGTCATATGAAAGATCCGTGTACTCATTTACAAATTTTCTCATTAATAATCTACCTACAAGGGAAGCTCTAACATCTTTACGAAATACGAATTTTCCTAGCCTAATCTTTTCATCGTTTTGTAAACAAGAAATTGCATATTCAAATTCTCGCTTGCTCGGATTCCATTCTTTCCAATTAAATGCCCACCGAATAGCTGACGACATTTTAAAAATATTGGTGCTATGCATAACCAGTGTCAAATTAGTTAATCAGTTTGCACATCCCATATACTCTTTGTCTTTATGACTAGAATTGGTGTATTCTTAAATTCTCTCTGATTATAAAAACAATTTTTTGCAAGATATATCGTTTGAGATAGTCTCCAGGTTACTTGTTAGGGGATCCACCTGAAGCAAATATAAATTTATTATACTGGTTTATTGTTTGTGATCCAAGAAATCATATTATTTATCATCTAGTATTTGTCTTTAAACTGCTATTAATAAAGATAAAGATAAGATGAGTATAAAAACTTGAACAATGAATCATAGATGGCATATATGGGCTCACTTAATTCTCATAATTGAGTCTGATTATCATGGTAGACAGTGTCCATCGACACCAATTAGATTCTTTAACTCTTACCAGAATTCATTGGAAAATATATAGTATTAGCAGAATCATTTGAACTATTATTAATGCAAACAGAAGCAAATATATAGTGCACAATATAGATAACAATAGATTTCATAAGAATAGAGAGCAAGCAACAAACTACTACTGATATAATAACTATATGCTATATATAAACAATTGTACAATAATTCATGTCTAAAATAAATGTGAAGACGCATGAAAAGAGAATAGAAATTAAAATACTTGAGTGTCTTTTCTTACCATTTAGCCTGGCATTCTTTGGACCTCTTTCAGGCAAGGAAGAGGTTGCTGTTATTTGAGCTCTGTCCAAAAGAGGAATGTAGCATTCGTCGTCATCTACGACAGATTGTAATTTTGTTAAAACATTTGCTGATTTTTGTCATATCTTTTTATACAAAAATGTTTTTTTTTAATAAAATATAAATATAATGACATGAAATTATATATATATATATATATTCACACACACACACACACACACACACACAGTTGTTGTTTAAATAACTATATTTCAATGACTGAAATAAAGCAAAATATATAAAATGTGATGCTTTCAGAATTGAATTTTAATGAAAGATACACTTCTTATTATGACAAATATATATCAATTATGGACTCTACGTACATATATTAATATATTGTATGGTATATATAATATGTATATAAAAATACTGTTTTTTTATAACAAATATACGAACAGAAACGAAGAAAATGATAATTATAAAACGTTGTAATATATAATCTGTATTACGAAATAAAATAAAACGATAGACTTGCCACAAATATGCGAAGAATATAGCGTAATCTAACATGTGTAACGCAGCATTATGCATTTACTCGCATGCACGCCATGTTACATCGAAATGGGCTTGGTCATGCCAGGAAGTTGCGCGATAACGATTATACATGCTAATAAAATACTTACAGGCAAATGAGCTTGCCGCCACGGCGAAAACATATACGAGACACCTGAGAGCGGTCATCGTACCATCGCCTTGCACTGCGAAACGTCTCTAGCCTTCAGAAAATTCTTAATTGATGGGTCGCTCGCCAGTGGGTTCGGTAAAAATGACGAAATGCCACTCACACGCCAGTCCGTCCAACGCTTCGTAATCGACTTCGTTGACGATTGAGAGAGAGACTATTTATTCGTCACTTCTATATTCACGGATCACCGATAAATGTACGTCGAGAAAAAATATATATCGAGAAAATTTTTTTTTTTTTTGTTAACTTATGATCCGCTCCTTAAATTCTTGCAGCACAACAACAGTGCGCGCCAATGCACACTGAAGCACGCCAATGACGCGAATCAACTCATCGAATGACGTGATCCGATGAATGCCGCGCCTCTCGCGTCGAATATTTCCGATGTATCGAATTATTCATTCGACGCTGAGTTCGGACCATAGACATAGTATACCTAGACCGAGTGTTGAGGAATGGGAGCCGAGGTGCACGTAGAAAAGGACATACTCTGTTTCGTGCCCCTTGTCGGACTCTGTATTAGTAAAATGCCACGGATACTAGATGTCACTCGCGTCCACTTTACGTTTAAAATCTTCGCGATCAACGGCCAAGCATCGACGGTCAACAGATCTTTCCTCATTTCGGTAATTAATCGTATGTATATAATTATTATTACTATATATTTACACGAATGATCACTGTACTTAAAAAACGCAACACAAAAAAGAAGTTGCAACTTTTTTATCCGTGACAATATATTCGCTTTCTCATATTCGAAATCTCACGTCGATCTCTCCTTAATCAATTGTTTGTTGAAAAAGCTTTTTTTATTAATAATAATTGAATAAAACAATATTTACTTTAATAAATAAAAACAAATACTTATTACAAATGAATGTATGAAGAATCGATTCTTTCGTTATCATATATCATTACATATATCCACAGTATATTTTTATAATATAGTAAACATACACACAATAATAAATCTTTTAAAGAAGATGTAATATCACATGTTTATTACAGACAACTTGTCATTTTCCTATTCTAATTCATTTCTTTTGTAGGAATATATAATCTTATCTTTCCTGTGGGCACGCGAGAGATGTGGAAGCGGAAGTGGCAGCAGCGGCATCAGCAGCACTACTCTTTCTAAATTTGGAAGACGACACATCCGATTCGCTTGAAATTTCTGCGTTTTGTTCTTGCGTATTATTTAAAGAAGCGATTACAATCGAATACGGCGGAGGATTTTCGTATTTGTCTTCGTCGGATACTCGAGGAGATGTCGATGTCGTTGTTTGCGTAGTCACCACGGACGTGTAGGACGGTGGTAAATCTACATGCAGGTGAGTCCGATACAATTCCATCTGTGAACAAATATATGTGAATGATAGGGATTGTGTTAGAATTTTATGCGTTTATAAAACGTGCATACAATTATTTGCACAAGATATATATCTTGAAAAATAATTAATTCGACATAGATATCATATTAAATACCTCTCTGCGATTAGCGGCCGTGATACTCGAGACAGTCCGAATCGCTGCTCTTCTTTGCTGCTCGATTAACATTCTCGCATTAGTCTTCTTCACGTTGTAAGCGGTATAACCACAGATAAATAAGAAGAGCAGCGTCAGTACCATCAAAACAATCCACATGTATTCCCATTCTAATAATATCGAAGCTACCATTGCTATCGTCACCCATGCGATCAAGAGAGTAGCCAGTGTTCGACCGGAACAATCCGCGTCCTGAAGAATTCGTATTTTAAACATATTTCTCCAGTAGTAGAGATTTACTTTGTCTAAAAAGAAACGCGTACTTGTGTGGAATATCTATTTCTGTTTTTATTACATACTTATATGTTTATCTATCTTAATGATATATAACAGATAATCACGGTTCGACAAAAAATTGCCATTATTTTTATTTACCCAATAGAACATAAGAAAAGAATATTTTATATATGTATACGATAATCATTTTATCAGATTAGAAAAATATTGTATTGATTGTTGTTATTGGTTGTTGTTATTGACTGTTGTTATTGGTTGTGTTGATAGTTTATACGAGCGTTATTAAATTATTAACAAAAGAAAAAGATATAATACATACCAAGAGGATCAGAAAGAACATCCTGAATACAATTTAGAAAAAATTATTCTTCCTTGAGGTTGTTATTAATCGACCGGTTTATCTCATCAACGATATACTTATCTATGACGATAAAAACAATATCGAGCTGATACATAAAGTACCGCTTTCCATATTTCGTTTGCATACTTTTGTTAATACATTTTTAGAAATTCAATTATTTCAGAGCAAGATACGTTAATTAACGTTGTGATCACATTTCCCTGAACGGTATTCATTAGTGAAACGTCGAGACATTCACATTATTTTATATCACTTAGTGTTGCGTAATAAATCGAAAATATAAAGACATTCAAAACTATGTCAACCCATGTCGTTTACACGGTTCTGTGATCTCAATCGTTCCAATATCGAAGACAAAAAAATACGTGTACCGATAAAAAAATCAGTTTTTTAAACGTTAAATTCATGAAAATCACATAAGCACCTTTAGCAATCTATGTGCGATTGAACAAGCCGTTTCATTGATCAGAAACACTGAAAAATAATTTAACGGGATTGGAATGTAGCGTCAAAGTTAATGACATTAATAACCAAATTCGTTTTAGGGTCGAAACAGAGAAAAAAAGCGACTCGAGAGATTTTCGCTCTTTTCGCGCAAAAAACACTTGTCACTTGCATATAAAAATCCTGATTGCCACTCTCAACGCGATAATGATGAAATCACACGAAAAGATACTCGGACTTTATTTTTATTACAAAATTATATCCGAATGAGAAAGTATTTAGGTAGTTCCGTAGTTCTCCGTTGGCCTCTGTGACGTTAACATTTAGTGAACGGTAAGACTTCCCACCGCGACGAGACTTTACGATAGCTATGCGATAAACGAATAAAAATCCCCCACTGTCGCTTAATGTATTTATCATACGCCATTGACGCGCATCGTTTATGCGCAGATAAGAATGATAATATGTATGATCAGCTCTTAAAATTAGAAAATAATGTAACGCGGCAAAATAAAAAAATTGATTGTGTTACAAAACATATGTATATATATATCGCAATTAAGTCGTATATTTTGTCAGGTAGCCGTATCGATTGAAACATTTTAGCTAAGGATACAATATGTATAATTTTCATTATATATTCTACATTGTGATGCGCGATATATTCTATACAGTATTGATGCAATGTCTATTTAATGTTGAAAAACAAACTCGAGAACTATCATTTGTGAGATGTTGCGCGATATGAGCATATAACGCAGCTTTCTTATCTTATATATCCGTATATGTAATGTAATGCCTAAACAGCGAACTTAGAGTTGTGCGTTAAAAACGAGAGGACGAACGAAAATGTTGTGCTTTTTTTCAACGCGTCATCCATTTACGACATATGTCTGTGTTAAAAAAAGTACATTTGATTTTTTTTTTTTTGTTCGTATACAATATACACGTGGCATTGAACGCGTGTATTCTATTCAACGCGTCATCCATTTTCGACATATGTCTGTGTTAAAAAAGTACATTTGATTTTTTTTTTTTGTTCGTATACAATATACACGTGGCATTGAACGCGTGTATTCTGTAACAGATTAATTCTACGAAATGTACAAAAAATTCTCAACGCTCAGTATCACAATTGTTAGTCGTATTAAAAAAGATGCATAATGTCAATCAGGGTCCAAATAGATAATCGACACTCGATAGAAATTTGTATTAAATATTCGCCGGCGATCGTATCATAATCGCATTGTATTTTATTGGTACACAAAAGATATAATGACCATTTGGACCGCGATTAAGATCTTTTTTTTTCGAAACCGTCTTTCTTTTCTCCGTTTTTTTTTCAGTCTATTATTTTTATGCGTTTATAACCACTCCCTAAATATATCATAAAGTAATACGACCCACGTATTTGCTATGGGTTCGTTTTACATATATTAGCATGGAACAAACGATATCGCGCTAATTTCTTATTTTTAGATGAAAAAATAATAAAGAAGCTATTAAGTAATTCTAAGCGAAATTGTTTACAAATTTTCTAGAACATGCCAAGTATACATCCTGGACCGCTACAACGTGCTGGATTGGTAGAAAGAGAGAAAAAATCGTTTGAGCAATGCATCGAGAGAATCAGCTGTTTTCCCGACGAGAATTCACGGAGATAAGACGTCGAATAGAAGGAACAGGATCGAATTGATGGCATTGTCGGTTTTGAGCCTTTTTCTAAGGTAATAATCGAGGATTAAAACGTCCCATGTGTAATATTATGCCAGAAGGGTTGTGTCGAACGAAATATAAGAAGGGCCTGTCGAGCTTTAACCTCGGTCTCTCCGACAATCCGGAGGGCTGTCTTTTCTCTCTATAGAACCGATCCATACGCGACTGGTCCGCGTAGAATGAATCCATGTGGTCCTCTTGCGAAGATATTATGCCTCCGTGTCTCGACGCGTCGTTCTCAGCGATATTACCGAAATTGTTGGTGTCTTCCGTTTGTCGCCTGATACTTCTTCTTAATGGGCTCGCGGGATACGTTTCTACATGATGCCGACCGCTAAGAATATTTTCATCACCACAGGTACTGAACAGGTTCATCTATAACAAAAATTTATAAAATATTATGGATTATCGTGTGTATATATATGTAAATGAATACAAGAAATACGTATATCGAGCAGATATATATTTACCTGCAATACATCGGCCAAATAGAGACGGTGACCTACGCCATTGATTCCCTTGAAATCGGCGTTGCCCGAGAAGAGTTCGTCGAGACCCATTCTCTTCAAGGCAGCAGTCGCGTTGACGACAGATCTATGACTGAATTTAGGCACTTGCAGCTCCAAGCCACTTCGCGGTATTAGGACCTTGAGGAGCTTGTTCCAGGTTCCATCGCGGAAGGCGCTTCTAACGAGACGCTGCTCGAGGCGATCCAGCGTGTCGCCGGGTGCGGTGTGACCTTGCTGACCCGGCAACACGAAAATTGTGGAAACCAATTTGTCGCTTCCGCCAAGAGCGACCACGGTAGCGTCAATGCTGGGCTCGTAGCCGGCTAAGATACCTGATCGCCAAGTCGTAGCTGGGACCGGCACAAGTTTCCTCTGCCTGACAGCCGGCGAAACCGCAAAGTATAATTCGCCATCTCTACCGACGGAACTGGTTAGAGTGCTATTGCAATCGGTCTGAAATACATTGGCGGAGAGCGCCGCCAGCGGTGATCTGAGCGGGACAGTGTTCGTCTTGACAAAATCTTTGATTCTACCACCCGTCTGCTTTCTGACCAACAGATTCGTCCTTCTGCGAACGAGATCGCTGATGGTAGCAAAGTTTACCTCGGCTACGAGGCCCTCGTAAAATTGTTGAGCCTGCTCCTTGTAAAAGGGCATAAGCTTCCTGACCTTCATCTTATCGGCGAAGAGCTCACGAACGAAGGCGGCGTTTGCGATACCTTGACTGCGGGCCAAGCTCACTGTGTCGGTTATATTTTGGAACACCAAGTGCGGATTGAACGTAGCCACGTCGTCCAGTCCGAGCACCTCGTTCATTTGATCGGACGTTGGTCCACGCGCGCCCAGGAAGATCATTGCCAGCAGACTGGTCATACCGAACGGCGACAAGGCCAGCGATCTCGCAGTACTTAGACCTTTATTGGTAGCTACCCAGAAATTGAAGGCTAGCTCATTGCACAGTCGGGCGAAGTTGATGATATCGGTGCTCGTGTGTTTTATAGTGACATCTAATCCGCTCGCGCTTTGCGACGCATCCCAGAGCGATAGCACGGATTGTGTCGAAGTTAGCTGGTCCTGCTGATCTGGCTGATGAGTTACCCCTGTTTCGTCTCCCGATAAACGAATTGTGGCACTCTCGTTTTCCGAGTTGGACGATGATTGAGTCTGGACATTATTGACCGGTTTTCTCAGCGGCATCAGCGGCTTCGTCGGTGAGGTTTTTTGCGATATAAGTGTCCATTTGTCTTCCGCATTCGCGTCCGTTTCGGTCTTCGAGACTTCAGACTTCTCCAACGGTTTATGACCAACCGTAGGCTTTGACATGATCGATGGCGGTGTCGATAGCGGCAAACGCATTACTTCCGGCTTCGAAGAATTCTCGGAGTGTTTCACAGACGCGGGTTTACTCTCTGTATTATTTGAATTAGTCTGCAATGTCGACGTGTCCTTTGTTGATGAAATATTCGTATTGACTACCGACATAGTCTGTGTCACATTTTTATTATTTTGATTCAATGTGTTATTGGCAGAATTCAAATTGTTTGCACCATTAATCAGATTTGATTGAGAAAGTTCTTCCTTCTTCTCGCTTGCATTCCCTGGTAATTTCTGCGTCACAACTTCGATAATAGGACGATCGGTATTCGCATATTCTTGAATCGATAGAGAAGACGAAGAATTATTGTTATTGTTATTCACATTATTTTTATTTTTATTATTAGTTGTGTTACTAACGCGATTTTGCAAAAACGTAGAATTGACAGAATTTCCATCTGACATGGGGGCATTAGACGTAACGTTCGAAACAACGGTATCCGTCGTGACATTATTAATATATTCGTGTGAGCTATAGAACTCGGAATTGGAATCATTAGCGGAGTGAACTGCAATAGTCTCCTTTGTCGCTGACGAAGTATTCAAGAAAGATTCATTCTTTTCGCCCAACTTTTCTATTTTTGGACTACTCTCCGCGTGTACCGAAGCGTTTACCGAATTTTTGATATTACTCGCGTTAGCCGAATCAATTAATTCAATTTTTACAGGTAATTGTGGTAATTCGAGACTCTCGTCCGTCCTTACAACGGGCGCTTCTGTCGTTTTCACCTTTTCCTTGTTTTCTGTTTTCTTTTGATTATTAATTGTATCGAGCACAGCTGTATTGATACTTAACGATTGCTCAGAATTTGCAGTGACAACTTCTGCAGTAATTGTACTCAGTCCAACGCTGTCCTTTGATTCGTCGCTAACATTCGCGAATTTGTTTAATGAAGTGGATAAAGATACTTTCGTAGAATCATCGATACTCGGTTCATTACTGTTTAACAGTTTAATTGGTTTTAATGTATGATCTGACTCTTTCGTCTGCATGATAGCATGATAGAATTCTAACGTGCCGTTTCTAGCCGGATCCGTTACTGTTTTTTGCGTTGACGTTTGAATAATATTTTTCTCTTCCTGATACTCATTTACATTAAATTCTACAGTTCCTTCGTGCATCTTAGTGATACTTTCGGTGGATTCTGCAAACTTCGTCGTGTCACTCGATGCATTTTTAGCCATTTGATTCTCGCTAGTCTCTTCGATGGACGATCTTTCCGACGTGCTCGTTGCAAATCCGGCGATAAGACTACTCGCTAAATCACTAGCTACAAAATTCGTCGTGTCACTCGGTAAACCGATCGGCTCAATTGCAGGAGTACTAGGCGGTAGAGGTGCATTATTCAATACTTGATCGATAGCGGACACTGGATTGCTCAAATTTAAGTTTGCGAAAACATTATCGAAATTTTCGTTGGTCAGTTTATTCAAAGATTCATTCGACGCAATTGTCGACTGCGTTTTAGATGCTACATCAAGTACTGTCGAAGTGACAGGTAAAATATCTTCTGGTAATTCTATAGTTTGGTCGATAGCTTGTTTCTCCAAAGGCAATACGTTAATAGCAGTGGTGGTTTCGAGAGTCGCGAGAGTCTTGGTCTGATTTCCTGGCGAACCGTCGTAAGTCTTTTCGAGCTGAACCCATATGGTCGAGGAAGACGTCGTTGATTCCGTCTTTGTACTGACCGATCCAATATTCGATTCAGCTGGCGTCGTGGTTAAAATATTATTAACCGTTACTTCGTTATTCGTCGTTTCGGTTTTAATCGAAGCTTCCGATGTTGTCACCGTAGTCCAAGAGTTCGCGGAAGCATCATTGATTGATTCTCTATTTATTGCATTGACAGGCCGTTGAGTAATAGTGTAGTCAATAAACCTAGTAGTAACGTCTTGTGACGGAATTTCTGTAGTAACGGTTACGTAAGTTTGCGTACTAACGCGTTCGACATTCGTCTCGTTTGTGTTGTAAGACATAAATGTATCTGCACTCGCGATCGTGGGTTTATATGAATCAGACACGTTGTGCCTCCGATCGTAATTAATATTCATGATCGATATTTCCGGCGGCATCTCGTCCGATAGAGATAATACGACGGGTCTTACTTCCGAAACTTGATTCATTACATTCGAAAAGGAATCGATCAACTGCGTGGGTAGCGGTTCCATCAGTCCTAAAGATTGGATCTCAGTTGGAGATTGAGAATTGAGATAATTTTCTGTGTACGTTGACGTAACCGGACTTAATGATTCTTTCGTAACCATTGAGGAACCTTCATCGCGATGATAATCCGTATACAGCAAAGTTGGAATAGTCGAGGCCTCGATTGTCGAAGCGCTGGCGAACGTAGATGGTGACTGCAACACGATTTTGTTAGACGCAGCTTCCTCGGGTTTTATAGACACGGATGCGTGAGAAAGTGGTTCCGAGATAACGCTATTAGCTTGTGAGATTATTTTATCATCATTGTGCGTTACGTTCATTTGAGATTCTTTCGTAATCTCGGGTATGAATGAAAAATCCTCAGATTGTTTCGTATTGTTCTTATTCTGTATAAGAACGTAACTTGCATTCGAGAAAGAAGAGATCTTGTCAGCCACATTGGTCACTTCGACAGATTCATCGTACGTTACAGCCTGCTTTGTATCGACAATAGGAAGATTCGTCGATATACTCGGTATAATCGTCGAATAAATCACCGGAATTTTTATTTCTTGACTTGCTTGGTTATCAGGATTTATAGTAGTCTGTTTTGTGATATCTACAAGATGCGTATCTAAGCTCGCCGGTTGCGAGAATGTTGTAGCTTCAGGTACTTCCGACAGAGTTATCTCGATAAATTGTTCCGTTTGATTAAATCCTTCGGTCTGAGTGGACGGTTGAGCGAAACTGGCGGCACCGATATCAGCTGCATACGAATCAGTCTGACTTGTTTTATGAGTACTCTCAACCGGAATCACACTAAGCATTTGGAAGATCGGACTTTCAGTAATGGCGGAATGCAACGTAGATAATTTTTGTTCCGTCAAAGTGATAACTGGGACTGGAATCATTGCTTTCTCCGTGATAGCATCGGGCGCCGATGTCTGCTGCGAGTAATGATTAAGTGGCAATTTCTCGCTAGGCTGCATGTTATTCGTAAAACCAGCGTAAACATTCGTCTGAATGTCTGACATCGCCGGCTTTTTCGTCGTCGGATCTTTCAGAGTAGTTCTGATATTCATCGCGCTTTCAGTCGACAACGCTTCTATCTTTTCTGTTGTAATCTTATGCAATAATTGATTAGATTCACTGCTTGGAGAAATCGCATCTGTCTCGCCGGACAGAATGGAAGGGAGAATGTTGCTCCATTCGACGTTTGCGTGTTCTGGAATCTTGGGTATCGAACCCGTTAAGATCGGTGGCTTGTCGAGTGCGCTCTTCAACACATTCTGTACCTTCTGTACTACATCCATGACCTAAAATGCGACGTGATATGTGTTAAATCCATAAACGAAGACATGACAGCTCCGTTAGCTCTAAACTGGTTATACATTCTTGTTTGTGTCCCATTTATATTTAAATGATCATCTGATTTTAGCATAAATCTATAAAATGGATATCATATTTTTTCGTCAAATATTCAATTTGTACAAAAAAATTTCATTTAATTATATTTAGCAATTGAATTAGCATTTCATTAAATGTATGTTTTATCATATCTAAATATTTCATTATTTGCTTTTATTTACATTTCTAATCAAAATACTTTATTTTAAGTAAAATATATAAAAAACGTATGCGGCGCGTGCGTGTATTTGTGCTGTTTGGTGTGTTGTGTTGTTCTATCTATTTTCTATTTACAGATAAGAGAAACAAAAGACGAGAGAGAAGAGATGGAAAATCGTGAATCGACCTTTTTTCCGCCCGTGAGAACATCATCGGCTTTTTGAGGTTCTTGTCTGTCTATCGCGACGTGATCCGCACCACCTGCAGCGATGAGACCTTGAATTTCCTGAGCGGTCATCTGCCGCGTAATCATATCACCTTTGTCGTTGTAAGTATAAAACTGAAACTTGTCGGGCCGCAAAAGTCCAGCCGGTGAAGCGACCAGTTTGTGGCTGGACTGCGTGTTGTTTTTGCCATTCGGAGGATGCACGCGTTTGTTGTAGTCCTGACGGAACATTGTGGAAGTAGCTACGCTGTAAAGGCACGAAAATCCGTCCAGAATATTATCGTAACTTTTGCTTTATATATTCAGCTACTCGAATATATATATATAAAAATCCTATTTATTGTTAGATATGGAAAATTGTATCTAAATACGATTTTTATGTATATTTCAACTGAAACGTATATAACAAAGATACGAAATAGATTAATGTGCATCGTGTATTTTTCATCTGGAAAATTATTTATTTTTTAATGAGCTTGTTTTTAAATTTAAATGCATACTGATAAAAAGTTGTGATAGTAAAGGTGTATCAGCAAGGATTTTCCTGTGAATTGATAAGGACGAAAAGTTCAATGCGCGCATATAATTTTCCTTAATTAGTCTATTCATTAAGAACACCGAAGCTGTCTGACAGCTCGGGAACTAAACCGCGATGCCTTTAATAAGAGCCGACCGTGCTTTTCATGCTTTTCCTTTTCCGCATTCTCTGTCTTGTTTTTCCCATGCAAGGCGCGATTTCTATCTACACACTCCTCGTTCGTATTATCTTACGTCGTCTTTATGTCATCCGTCCGTATGAACTTCACGAGAAAAGAACTTAGAATTTAATTCTAATTTCATACATATACGTACATAAATTATATTAAAATATTTTAAACTTACCCCTAAATCGATGTATATACACGAGATTTACAATTTATATAAAAGCCATAAGAAGATTTTTTTGTGATACTGACCTAGGATCAAATGTATTCACAGGTACGTGCGAACGTTCATCATGAGACGGTAAAGGCGCACTTAATTGCAGGTTCATCAAAGATACGATTAGTGCTGGCAATAGCCAGCGTAATCGTTGCAGCAACATGATAATGTTCGATTTTCTGAAAACGGAAAGATATTTCGAGATTGTGAAGATAATATAGTCGCATTTTATTTTATTACATATCACTCCTGTTATTAGCTCTTTTTCTTTATTTGCGATGCATTCTGTGCAAGAATGTTTATTAAAGAAGTTTCAATAGAGAATATAATTTTCAACACATTTAGAGAAATAAATTGAACGATAAATATTTATATGATACAAGATACATAGATAAACCACAACCGGGCAAAAATCATGTCATAACAACGTGCGAAAAAAAGCAAAATGAAGAGAAATAAGGCATTGAACTTTTTAATTTCTTATTGATTGTTATATATACATATTATTGATCTTAATTTTTTGATCTTGGCTTAATTACTTTTATACTTTGCATTATATATAAATTTGAATGATGACTATTATGTGCAATTAGCGTATGTTTGGCCTCTTCAGAAATCTTGTTTATATATTCATAAGAAAATTGTGAATATTTTTTTCTCTTCTTTCCTTTCCCTTTGTAAACTTATAATTCTAGATTATCTCCCAAGAAAGTAAAACTTAAACTTTATCTCTTAAAAATTTAAACTTAGCTTCTCGTAAACACTCACATTTTGAAAATCAAGATAGACTCCTTGAAAATGTCATTTAATCCTATCGAGAATTAATTACCATCAATAACCCCGGTGTCAATAACTCCGTGATCGCGACGTTTGAAAACTTGACACTGAACACACCAATTCGATGTGACACAATCAACTCGTAATAATCAACAAAAGGAAAATGTTAGGCAAGTTTTTGACGAGTGTTCGACTGACCCTCGGTGTTCGATTCTTTAGCGCGAGACACGATAATCAAACCCTTTTGCTCTCTCTTCTTTCGCGTCTGTTCGTTCTCTCTTTCTCTCTTTCTCCCTCTATGCTTCCCTTCTTCCCTTCTTCGTTAAGGGATCAAGGACGTTTGGCAGTTGAAACTATTTTGCCGTCGACCTTGCTGGTCAGACTGTAGCCGGTGTAGCGACCTCGGCGAAGATTACGGAGCATGTACCATGAACTCCTCCCTTTTCTTTCTGTGCAGGTCCTTTCTCATATACTCCCTCCGCACTCGCTTGACACTCCGGCGTGATTCTCTTCCTATGCCACTTGTTCGCTTCTGCCGTCTTATACCCTGGATAAACACGTACTGCAAGGTAGGATCCTTCGCTGGGACGAGCGCAGTGGAACAAGAGGCAGAAGAAATAAGGAGGGGAGACGGCTCCTGAAGGGTAAGACAGAGAAAGGATTCGCCTCTCTCGCCTCTCGCGATAGTCGTCGGATGGAGTGGATTACGCGGAAACAGGTGACCGCGCGTACGTGCGCGTGGCACATACGCGAGCATTTTTTCTAACAGATCACCTTCCATTCGAGTATAATCGAAAATGACATAAAGATTATGCAAAAGCGTTAGAAGACATTGCTACCGCGCACACTGGGAAAAATTGGCAAAATTTTCTCAAGAGAGTTCATCGTCCTCGGTAATATACATTAGAAGGAAAAATCGTGTGCATCACGCGATTTACCTCCCTTTAATAAAAAAAAAAAAAGGATAGAATTTTGGATGATGAGCGCGACGAACGTTACAGGAACGCCGGTCGGAGCATTTGACGTAGCCCACATCGCAGAGCCGCTATGAATTGTGCTCTCCGGAGATCGCCGGAGAGACATAGCGAAATGAGGTAGCCATCCATATTTTTTTTGAAACGATGAACGCAACGTAAGCCAAGCCGACGATTCACAGCGACGATTAACGGTACATCGACCGAATGAGTCGCATACATGACGTACTAAATTGTGAAAGAACCAGTAATGGGCCGTGTGAATGGATACCACAAAAATGCGGCTTTCGGGGGGAGAGGGGAAATCTTTTAAAAGAGATTTTATCGAGCTAAATTATGCCATTTCTTCTTCTCCCTCAACGAGACGAGTTGACCAACGTCCGCCGATCTCGTATCAATCGCACTCTAACTCATTCATGAACGAATAAATCGTCCGAGGCTTGGCATAGATTTCGGATCCTCCAATATCAATCTTTTTCTAGGAGGGAGCATTTTTTTCGACCTTACTAAAACTTCCGTTCGCCAAAACTAGGCGATCAGGCCGAGTTCCAAGCCGCACGAGAGCAGGAGACGACCCGAAACGATAGATAGATTTAGGTTTGACAGTTGATCACGCGAGAGAAGATGAACGAGCTCGCGCTTGGCAAAACCCGTTTCTCGCTTCTCGCGCGACTACGTCTGGTTAAGTTTTCTGTGAACGTCGAACATGCACGGGTTAATAAACAGCCGTCCCACTTGCACGGACTGTCCATCCGTAACCCACTGTTTACCAAGACAACGGTACCGCGCCGCGCCGCGCCGGATTAAGGCTTATCCAACGGTTACCTATCGACAAATTCGACGTCGGGGTTGGGAGGAGTAGCACGGGAAAGGGGGACGCGAGAACGAAACGATGGCAATAATTCACAAATCCCCGACCTATTTTCCTCGCCACCGATTTCACATCGCTCTCACCGATCGATTCACGAATCGATTCGACATATTCGATTTATCCTAAAATTTTTCATTTTTTTTCCACGGAAACTCGATTAATTCGAAATAAATAAAGAAAAGATCGCGCGCGACTTTCTTAGGGAAATCTAAGTAAAATGATCTTTAGGCCAGTACGAGGTACAGAGATAATGATACGCGATACAAACATTAAAAGTATTCTCACGGTATTAATTTCGACCTTTACCCAAGTCTCGATTAATTCTATCCTTTTGAGAAAGCAATAATTTACTTTTCAATTATTACTATAATTTCAAACATCATTTCTCTCTTTGACGTGACGCATGCGAGGGTATGATAACGGGTGGAAAAAGAGGAAAAAAATACAAGTTCGCCTCCCGGGTGTATGTACCTACTTATGAGAAATTCTCAGGTACGTGAGAGATTCTCCAGAGAGGTGTCACGCTCGGCTGAGCTAACACGACATTCCAGATTACGTAGCTGGAATCGTTGCTCCGAAGGGAGCATCGTCCGGAAACGACTGGCGTAATCGCCCCCTCTTTTTCTTACGTAGCGAATCTAATGTTATAATAGGAGTATTAATTAATAATTTACGATATACGTGTAAATTCTACGATTATAGCTGTTTATATTTAATTTAATGCGAGGGAGAAACATTCGCTATTGATATATATTTTATATCATATTATATTTCTCATCTCACTCCTCTTAAGGGGGGAAGCCTTACAGAGTGAAAAATTGGCTCGTATCCGGAAATTGATCACAGAGCGTATGCAAACATAATTTTTTAAATTATACTTTCGTGTTCTTACCCTAACAATTTTGTAGTATCGCTTCGGTTACTCGGAAAGTTGGAGTAAAAAAAAAAAAAGAAAAGACCAACGGATCGTAAACTATTTCGATGTAGAAACGTTTCGATAATTGGCGTATTGATCATTGGTATGCATTATAAATTGCGTTAAAGGCAAATTCGAAAAGGTATATTCCATAGGTATTCGCGTTTACTATTCAAAGCGGAACACCTCAGTCGAACACCGGTCAGCTCCGCTAGTATAAGAGCGAGCGAAACTTGGGGAATATGTTTCTCGACACATATACACTGGAGAATGTACCACTTTCTGACACATAACAGTAGTATATGCGGCACACGATGAGTAGATGATGATCTCTCTCTCTCTCTTTCATAGAAATACAAAAGACATAACGGTCTCCTCGCCGTTGTCCCATCGTGTTACGAATACGTGCGTATCCGAATCACGCGCGTCCAAAAAATCTGATTTAGTTACGCGTGCGGGATATAAAAAGCTATATTACCGGGTATATTACCATTCGCATTTGTTCACGAATTCGAGACGCGTGTCTCTCTGGTTTGCACGCTCGTGCGTCCAGGCGAGACGGCTTATGAACCGACCGAGATTATACCAGGAATACTAGGCAACGGGGACATCCTGTAAGGATAAACCCAGTCCCGGTTGATCATTCCAGAAGGAGAAGTCGACGCTCGCGCGTGTGACTTCTCGTATAAAAATTTATTCATAGTTAATAATATTAAAGAAATATTTAAAATAATGATCATGAGAGGAAGGAAAGAGTAAATTGTCTTTAAAATATTTACAACTACAAATATTAAAAACTACTCGCTATTTTAATATAGGAGTGATGAGCGATCAAACACGATGAAGAAAAGTGATTGCAAAATGGGAGATGAGGTTGAAATGTTACGAGAGACTCGATTTGTCGGTGGAAGCACTTACGAAGGGTCGTGGGATGCGATTGATAAAACCGGCGTCGGCAGATATGTCACACCTTACAGTTAATTAATCTTAACTGATTTCAATATTAACTCTGTTTTTTTAATTATTTTTGCATTATAAAAATATTTCAAATTTTATAATTGCAACAGTAGTTTAAACAGGCTGAGAGCAGCCGTGAAAGTCAATTAAAAACTAGTTAAAAATTAATGATCATCAGTTAATAAAATTAATGTCCATTAGTTAAATATTAATGGTCAATCAAATAAGATTATTACCTGTAATATACTTGTAGGATCGTAAAATGCATCAACATCAATTAGTGCAAACCAATCTTATGTATATTTTAGAAGTTGTATTAGAGGGAGAATATCGGAATGGCATGCTTCATGGCTGCGGAAGTATGTATTGGCCACGTGGACAGGTAATAGATAGTACCTGGAATCATGGAAAAATGGAACAGCAAAAGCGTTATACGTTCGCGGACGGTTTATCATATCGAGAAAATGAATGGGATTATTGTACATTTCCTGATAGGCGGTTAGCACAATTCTCGAATGGCGAAAATTTAAATAGAAGTTCTATATACCCACATTATTCTTGCATCTTTTCTCTTATAAAATATTTTAGATTTTACAATTGCATAGTAAACGGATTGAGACCAGCCGGAAAAGTATTGAAAACTAATGACCAACCAACTAAAATTATTCCTCTGTTCTGCTACGATACCGGTGCCGGTATATTCGATCCATACAAGAATTGCATAAAATCATATCGTAACTGCAAAAAAGTAAAAATACACTGTTCAATAATAATAAAGTCAGAAATGCTACTCATATACATATATCTATTCTCGCGAAGTAAATAGTAATAGAATAATAAAAATTATGAAGATACTCAACATTCCAAAGACTATAGAAAGTAAATGGATCAAACAAAATTGCCGAAAAGGCTGGTCAGAACCGACAGGTCATCGAGAATGGTTACGCGAATATTGGCAATCGGGAGCGGCGGATTTTGCAACGTTACCGCACATCTCGTCGGATGAAACAGAAAATTGGTGGCAAAGGTGTATTAATATAATGCAATCTTAACTACAATTATATATATGTAATTGTAAAAATATTTGATGGAATCATAATCAAATCCTATTTTATTAATTTCATATATTGTTTAAGACTGACGAAATTTGCCAGACATACGCCTGCAGACATGAAGTGGATGAAACACAACTGTGTTAAAGAATGTCAGCTAAACTATTAAACAATATAGGGGAGAAATGTAAATATTAAGACTTGAAGCAATTAAAAGCTAATAATCGTAAAATAAGAAAATAACATGAAATTTTATAAACTTTATATAGGTGATAACATATGCATACATATGTATTTGTCATATATATATGATAAAATTATAAAATTTATATTTCCTAGCCAACAACGAGTTTTTTCTCTTCAGTCACAATTATCGGTGCATCCGTTTTTCGATGCACATTAAACAGTACAGACAGCTTTAGTGGTATACACATGTCGACTGTGCAAGCCATTATGTTTAATGTAATGCGCAATTGATTTTGCTCTTCATCTGCAGGAAGTTTCACCGACACAGGAGTTGAAAGTCCACCTGTTAAAGAGCTTGCTGTCCATGTATTTACAGGTAAGGACACATGCCATTCTTGTGGTGCATCTACATTTAACTTCAAATCATTTGAAAATACGATATTAAATAGAATATTTAATTCTCCACCATGAGTATTAATCGATGTATCAAAAGTATATATTTTCTCAATATTTTCATTTGAATCAGGTCTAGATATAACCATCTGAAAAATAACATTAACAAAGTCAACATAAATATCATAATATATAAAGATATATTTTGAAAGAAATCTAAGTTACACTTACAGTTGAAATTTTCTCGTTTGTGAGGTCAATAATTTTAATAGCGTGATTATTGGTATCTGCCACATAAAGAATGTTACTATCTGGGTTGATAGCAAGGCCACCTGGTTCATTGAACTGATAAAAGATTATTTTAAAGTTATTGCATTAAAATATTTGCAAGTAACTTTTGAAATCATCTTCTCAAAAAATATAACAAAACTTACAGAAAATGTGCGATCAGGTTTTCCTGCACCAAATAAAGTCTTACAATATCCTGTTGTAGTATCTACAGTTTTAATCTTGTGATTATAAGTATCAGCTATATAAATTCGTTTATTCAAATGATCCCATGCTATACCCAATGGATGTTGAAGTTTAGCCGAAAATTCTTTTCCATCTACGTCTCCAAAAGCATGTAAGTTCTATAATATAAATTAAATAAGATAAGATAAATATTATATCGCCATGATTTTTATATATTGCTACCATTTCAGTGAAAAATTGACATATATTTTACTCTCATATATAAAAAATAGTTATATTAGGCATCAAAACAAATGAAAAATCCTTATTATTAAACAAACCATTGGATTTTTGTCTCCTCCACAAACAGCAGAGACCCGACCGTTGTCTAAGTGCAACCGTCTAATAGCACTGCTTTCACTGTCTGCGAAAAATGCAATTTTATATTCTTGAACAACTGCTATACCAGAAGGTTGTGCTAACCCAGCGGCATGAGGATAACTGTTATTACGATTTTCTTCCCGGCCACTTCCGACAATAGCAACGCATGTGCCTGCTGAGTATTTTCTAAAATATGGAAAATTTTTATTAAAAATTTCATAATGAGCATTGCTTAATCTTTATGCACAGAAGAATTATTCAGTTACATATTTTACAACAAGAAAAAACTAAAGAAACTAAAACTAACTACAGAAATATCATATTTTATAGTCGCGTATCTTAAACTTTCTCTGGGGTATTTTTTAAATTTGTTAGTTAGCGTTAAAAATCATATTACATAAATAATATCTCACTTTTCCTTCCACCAAGTAGTGTCTTCCAAAAATAATGCCCAGATCTGATGAGTACCCGCTATAGCGATTAATAAGATTGGCACAATGCTACCTTTATATTCGTGATGATAGATTGCTACATCCCAAGGAGATGATAAAACCTGATTAATACCGTGTTTTCCACCTTGGCGGTCGTGACCTTGTAAACCAGTGCCCGCTATGGTAGATACGTTTTTTTTGGTCAGATTTATCTAAAAAATGAATTAAAGTTGATAATAAAAGTAGTAAATCAATATTTTAAAATATGATAATGAAGACTGAGGAATATTTTTCTCCTTACTTTTCTAATGGCATGATTGTTATTATCCGCAACATAGATTGTATTATTGAGTACACAGACCCCTTGAGGTGAATTAAATCTGGCATTTTTGAAATCGCCATCTTTAAAACCCTGATTGTATCCACCTATATAGTGCTCCACTTCTCCATGTTCAGTCGCGATGACAATTCTATTATTGCCGCTATCTGATATGATGAGCTTTGTTCCTTGTTCAGATGAAAAAATGGCTAATTTACCAGGAAACAATAAACCATCTTTAAAAAATGGTAACAGGTGATTCGCCGGCTTCATTGGAAGACTATGGTTCGATATTTGATTTAAAGATTTGAAATATGCTATCATTACTTTTGTATATAACAGTATTTCGTCTTTGTGATCTTCACCAACAAAAACAGCCAATGGCTGACCGCTAGGTCCTGGAATAGATTTATAACTATATAGCAATAACAAGTTTCAACAAAAAGTAGCATAGCCCATTTAAATCTTATATACAAAAAGACAAAAAGGATCCAAATGAAGTTACCTAACATGACAAGGCTAGGCCAACATGTAATTCCCATATTGTACCACATCCTTAATGTCATATCATTTACCACAGGATGTGCAATATTATATCTTTGCACTGCAGATAAGACATTTTTTGAACTACGTTCATTTGTAAATTTTGCACTGTGAATTCCAATCTAAAACAAAAAAGTTATTAATTGTTGTGCAATTGTTATAATTTAATTTTCATAATTTCTCTCGTGTAAAATAATATATTCACCACAACAAGACCATCTTCTACAGAGATTTTTTTTTCAACCTCTTCTAATTCAGCTAAAACATGCATACAATTGATGCAACAATAAGTAAAAAAATCCAAAAGTACGATTTTTCCTTTCAAATGCTGCGCAAATGATAATCCTTCCGACACATTGAACCACTCCAAGCCTGTAATGTATAAAAACGCGTATGAAAATATAATTAAATTATATTTATTAGTAAATATAGATAAAGATTTTATTATATTTGTTACTTATTATAAATTAGTAATAATTATTTATTATGAAAATTACAAATAACAAAAATTACCTTTCGGAAAATCCTGAATTTCTGCACCGGAATTCTCATATCGTTTTATGTGTTTTAGAATTAACGCCTCCTTATCCTTTCGTTCGGTAAAGTCATCTAGATGAGAGCGCATTTGAATGCATACTTGCGTCAATTCCTCGACTACCTCTTGCGCGTTCATTTTTTTATTTACGAGTCCACACATCCGCGCACAAGGATAGTTGAAAGTTCAATAAAATTCTTCAAACGATTACGAGCATTCATTAGTTTCTCTGTCGGAGGTATTTGACGTATTCCGTATACAAAGAGCTACGTATGTGGAACAATAAACTGAATGACATCGTATCGTTACTTACGGACCTGACGTTATTCAAGTCCGTGACGTTATTAATGTCGGAATGAAAGGAATTGCGAGGGAGAGGAAGGGAGAAGATAAACAAGATTATTTTTCGATATCTTTTTCATTGTCATCGAAATTCGATTGACGCGAATGATATGATTTTTATCTGTACCATTCCATATAGAATTAATTTAATATAACCATTGTTGATTGTCAATAAGATGCGAGTTGATGTTTGATGCTGTTTCGCACGTGGACACGAGCATTGACGTAGCAGTTCGCGGTACTGTCAGTTATCTGATACAAGTTTCATCAAACGACGAATATGGCTGATCAAAAACCAGACATTGAGTTAGATTGGGTGAAAATACGAGAAGATTTGGACAGTGAATTTCTTGGCGAGACGGTATTCGACAAAGCGAAACGTAAAACACGAGAGAATCCACTTGTACCTATAGGTAAAATAACCTCTAACAACGTCAAGATTTCGTCTTTATTCAGTTAATTTCTTCTGAATTTATAATCAAAAACTAGTAAAAAAAAATCAGTGTGAAAAAGAAAAAAATATATACAATGAAATATATACATTTCTACTAAGAGAATATTGCATTCTTTGAAACGTGTCTAGGATATTTTTATGAAATATATATATATATATATTAGAGAACTATTATTAAAAATGTATATACATCAAAATGTTTTAGTAGCTTTATATTTCTTTAGGTTGTCTTGCAACTACAGCAGCACTTTCTGTAGGACTCATCAGCTTTGTGAGAGAAAAAAGCCAGATGCAACAATATATGATGCGTGCACGTGTTGGTGCTCAAGCATTTACCATAGTTTGCATAGTTGCAGGATTTATTTTGTTACCTAAATCAAGTTAAGATGTTATGTAACATTTATTTATACAAATGTCATTAATATCTGCTGTAGTATATGAAATGCTCTTATAATCGTATTGGATGCAATATGTATCTAATATGGGTAAATATTATATTGTCTCCAAAATAACACTCATAAATTATCAAACGCATGAATTGAGAAAAATTATTTATGGTAACATCTGTAAATTAATATTTTTATCTATAAAAATATATTTCTAATTGTAATTATTAACCAAAATTATAAACACGCATTTTTTTTATCCTTAACTATCATAATATATAAAAAAGAAGAATATTTTATTAGATTTTCCATAATCTATTCTTTTCAAATTGTATATATACATCAAATTAGTGAAAATAAGGATTTTTTAAAAACAAACACAGATATAATTGTATATTATTATTATTATCAGTATTATATTATAAATTCTATATATCACACATATAGATATATGTGTATATTTATTACAGCCATACTAAATATTGCAATGCTCTTATTTTTTTAATAAAAAATAAGGATTTTTTAAAATCAAACACAGATATAATTGTATATTATTATTATTATCAGTATTATATTATAAATTCTATATATCACACATATAGATATATGTGTATATTTATTACAGCCATACTAAATATTGCAATGCTCTTATTTTTTTAATAAATTTATAAAAGCATTATGATAAGGCTGCTGTTATACTTTCTTTAATAATAAAGCTTTGTATTATAAAAGTAGAAAAGAGAAAAGTGAGAAACCATTTGAAATCAAAATCTTTTGTACTCTTCTATATCCAACAAGTTTTTTTATACATATCGAATTATTAAATGATATGTATTACTAACATATTGTTTTCAGCCAAATTTTTCTTATATTCCTATATACGTATTTTAAATTGAGAAAGATGTCATCTAAATAAACAATATATATATTTATCTTCCATTTAGATTCAAAATCATAAAATATTTAAATATATCAATTCCTTTAATATATCAGATGTATCAATACCAGATTGTAAAAAAGTCTGATATATAGAAAATTGAAAAACTCTAGCATATTCATCTCTATGCAATAATTCTGTACTTGTCGGACATGTTGGTTCTTCGGAAAGAATGCACGCGCGCGTAAAATCATTACACATTCTTATTAGAAGAAGTTAAATGAGATTTTAATGTAATGGCACTTTGTTTAAACGCACCACTGATACTCAGTGAACGGGAACGCAGGCTTGTTAGACTATTTGTGGAACTACAACTGCTTAGACTAGTACTAGGTGTGAGATCAAAAATTGTTTGTACAGTAGATCTTGCGGATGTATAATCCGATGGTATTGATTCTGTAATGAAAGAAATACTAATTAATAAATAGTTCATATTTTTTAAGAGATTCTAAAATGTCAATTATCAAATTTTGTAAATTGATAATTCATATATAATTAATTGTGCACATTTACCAATTAAAGGTGTCTCATCGTATAAAGAGCCCTGTCTTTTATTGCTGATAAAAGAATTTCTTGTACTTTCAATGCTAGACACCCTTTGAACAACTTCCGCAGCATGTTTCCATCTCAAATGGTCATTAATATGGGCCGATAAAAGTGTCAACCATTTTTTAGCATCTTCCTTTGATTCAAATTTAATGGACAATAGTTTGTTGATGCTATTGCCAGAATTATTTATCAAAAGTTCTTTAGCGGACTTAGATAATCGAATGGATGTTCTCTACAAATACAGATGAAAAAATTATTTGAATTGAAATAATAAAATGACTATAGGAGATGTATAGATATATCTACAAAGTTGCCAACTTACTTTATTAATTGGTATGACATGCTCTGGATTTTGACCTTCTTCTGCATGTTTTTTCGATTCCCACATTTTTATATAAAAACCTTGCAAGCGTGTCCAATAATCTTGATCATCTATTTTTACATTGCTGATGCCCATTTCCTTGCTGATACAGTCTGGTTGTGCTGCCAATCGACAACAAAAGTGACCGAAAAGTGGCAAAGAGTGATATTTATGTTCTGGAAAAAAAACACGATTTAAATATTTTAAACACATGCCGAACTTTTCGTATTACTTACCGATATTATTAATAATTAGGTCATGCGTGTGAATGTTATCGTCCGTGTCATCTAGAGTCAATTTTGCACGAGCTACTAAGTCAAAGTGTGGCCCACTGAAAAAAAGTTTCTAATTAATATTATAAAAAAAAAATAACTTACGATTTGGCGGAACTGAATTCGTCACGAAGGGAGGCGGCGAGTTTTTTGCCAACAGTTTTCGAGATCGACGAGTGAATCGTCTTTTTGATTCTTCTTGGCGTGCTAGCGATACTTAAATCCTCTTGCAAAATGTGACTATAGATTTCTAAGACTAATTCAAATTCGGCAGGCACGTTGTTACTGGAAGCAAAGTTTATATATAAATACAAAGTTACATTATGTTTCTTGATTAGTATAATTATAAATACTTTAATTTATGCTTGCATCAAGTTAATAAATTCTAATTCACAAGGACAATGTGTATCAGAGTAGTTAAAACTTACAATATTAGAATATCGGGAAAACTGATATCCGTATGGGCCCTGTCAATAGGACACAATAAGGATGTATCGTGGATTTCCGTGCCTAATCGCGCTAAGCAAAATACAGCAAATCGACGATGATCTCCGCGATTCTTGAAGTGATCGGAATCTCTCCACATTAAAGGTATTCTAAGATCCGAAATCGATAGCTTGCCCGTAGTTCCAGGATTACTGAAAACAGATGCGTTATACTATTATTATTAGATATCGCTGTAGAAGGAAGATTACGTTTCGTTCTTTCTCTATGTATTCTTTCTGTTATTTCTACAAAAGAAAAAAAAAACGTGTTTACGAACCACGGCTTTTTAATAGATTCACGACGACGACTTTGCAATTCCGCCATGTAAACCGACATTCTCTCGTTCGATGTAAGCAACGCTTTGGCGGCTTCCAAGCTCTGGGCACGATGCTTTGCGGCCGCCAAAAGTCTCGCCGAGCCCTCTCTCATTTTGATTTCCACCTCGATCTTCTGCTCGAGATCATGCTCCTGAAACACATAATTCGTAGCATTTTAGCAACTAATTCGAAATAGTCGCTAATTTATTGATCATTCGCGAAAATCTTAATTCGAGATTTAAAGAAAACTATTCGGAAACTTTCAGATGTGGAATCGTACATAGCTCCGAAAAGCGCAATCTCGCCGCACAGGTGTCTGCAGGTGTTGAATATAACATGCGTAAACAAAAAAAAAAAAAAAAAAGAGAAAGAAACGACGGATAGTTACGATCGAAAAAAATCAAAGTATCAGCAATAAAACGACTGTCTGGCTAACACGTGGCCATCATACGTTCATAATATCGGGTTACATACCTAACGAAACGTTTTACATATTTTGCGAACGAATCATTTTACTCATTTTACGATCCTTCCTACGAGATATCCATAGACCGATTCACAAAGTTGTGATATGTTATGAACTTTACGATATTATTGTACTCAATATATAAAGAAGCAATAACCTGAGGGAGTGTAATCTTCTCATTCGTCGTTTTTTGAAATCTCGACATATAAAACTACTATTTTATCGTCACTTAACACACGCACACGATACGAGCGTGGATGAATGAAAATTCCACTTTACGAGGCAAGAAACAAACTTTGCGAAAGCGTAAATAAATCGGCGTGGTTTTCACAACGCTGGTAGCAGCACGCGGCAGAATCGGACTGAAATAACGACTCTTCGGGGAAGTGGCTGAATGCATGAGGGGATGACGTTCACCTCGTCAAATTGGCTCCTCCTTACGCTTCTCCTTCCACCCTCGGGGAACCATATTAACAACACGGAGTATCGATCCGCGTGGCTAGCTGAGTTTTATAGTCAGCGTGCACGAAATCACAAAGGTCTATTCTTGTGAAACAATTTATTCCACACATTTGTCTCTTATAAAATATTAGATATAAAATTCTTCCCTTGACAGTTTTTTATCGTATAACATGCGTATGAATTTTCATGATATCTCCGAATGAATCGTATAATCCAAAAATAACGAACGCATCAGTAAAATCAATAATGAAAATGATGATTCATTGCGCGCATCTAGCGATTTCGTATTCCATTGATGTTATGCGTGACACATCCTTTACCTCGAACTCGAGGTGTGCGCGTCGCGCCGGGTTCTATCAGGAATACATCATAGGTCACGGCGTATTCCTTTGCCGTTGGTCTCGAATAGAAATTTTGCAGCGACGCAAGGGTAATCGCGGCCACATTTAATCCCTGACCCCGGTGCTATAACGAGCCTTGATGAAACTCGTGATGCGCATTGTGTGACAAACGAGTTCACGTATAAGTACGACGTAACGCAATTCGCAATTCTCTTATATATCCCTATTTTTCTTCTGGTATACTTTACGACACGATACGTGTGTAAACGTTAACAAAGTTTTGTTTCGTTAGCATAAGATTCTTCTCCTTCTGTTTCATCTTGTTCCCTCGATCCTATTGTCCTTCATTTCTACATATTCCCCCTCGATTACTTTCTCTTGCGTTGCCAACGCTTTCTCGACATCTTGTCTGCCGAAAATAGTCGCCAGAAATCCAATACCCCGTGCGGTTGTGCCTGTAATAGTCGTCGCACGCGCGCGACACGCATCCTCTTTTCCTCTCTCGCGTAAATCGTCCAACACTCCATGCCTGATATTCGCGACAATTATGTAAGAAAGTCGTAGAAAATCGCGATTAATATTAAATTGTCATTCTGAAAATAATTAAAATAGTATAAATGCATATAAGTAATAAATGTGAATAAATATTCACTTTACATTTTTCGATATTGATTTGTTATACAACTTTCATCATATTAAGCGAATAGCGAATTTCATTTAAGATCACACACAGTATCCGTTACATTTTTATATACTTGAGATTTCAAATCCGTTTGACATTGCCATTTGTATATTCGACCGACGCGATATCACACACGACGTCTAAAAATACGGACAACTCGTGAAGAAACATCGGCTTCCGTGAAACGCGCTACGCAGCATCATATATACCGCTCACACGGTAAAGCTTCAACTCTTTATATAAATTTAAATCTCTTAATCATGGTTTGTTAAAGGCTCCATTAATAATATTAAAAAAAAAATTTTTTAAAGAAATTTTACCGCGTTTCCAGGAATTCTTATTCTATATATCTCGCGATCGACAATATTTTCTCAACTCCATTGCGTACAAATCCTACCTTCGAATTTCGTGCAATTTGTCGAACGTAATACAGATCCAAATCTTGGAAGACGTCATTCTTTCCCTGGAGGGTCGGAGTCCTCGATTGCATGCGGGTATCTTCGGCACTTATGACGTTGCATCCCTCGTCTCTCGATTTATTCGTATTACGCGGATTTAATATCGTCAAATGCGGGAAGCAGGAGTCCATTTTTCCTTTTTTTCTCAATATATGGTACTATTCGTCGTTCGATATCAATCTGTATAATCGAATATATATACCGAGATCACTCCAATTCCAATAACTTGTGAGCGGGATCGATATCGAAGACGCATATCGTATGCAGATGAACGATCATAGATCACAGGTCCACTCGAGCTGTATTTCCAATCTTCTAAAGATGCGTAAAATCTCGCGGAAAATTTGCCGCACGTGTTAACGAGCGAACAGCTTTGCACGAGCTGATTTTGCGAATGAATACACGTGGCTGATTTTTTCCTCGAAACCTTGACCGGAGATCTTAAACAGGAGCGAATGGAAGAGAAGGTTGTCTTGTTTCTCGCGAAAAAAATTTGAGTCAAGGTAGACGCGTCCCTCTGAAACTTTTTCATCCACTTCTATTTCGTTCAATACGTATATGCTTCTGTAAACTTTTTGACCTCTAAATTTTGCTTAAAACAATGAAAGAAAAAGAGATGCTATCACACATTACTCCGAGGACTATCTTCTTCCCGTCGAATCCTTGTCCTCTCGTTTAACGCAAGCGGCCTACACGATTGCGAGAGTAATCGCAAACAACGGATAGATTCGGCCGTCCTACGTTTTTCCGTTAGTTATACAAAATAACTCGTGACGATATACCGCCCCCGCGCGATACAACGTACGGGAGATGTCGTTTCGCCTTTCGTTTCACCAAGTACTCCAACTCGTTCGCCTTGCTCGCTTCTCCGCCAAATTTGTTCTCTTCTCCGCTTCCGGTTATAGTTGACGCCCAATCGTGTATCATGATTCACAGTCGAGTGAAAAAAGCGATGTTTCTTCGACGTTCTACACTTTTGTGGATTGTCTACTGGTTTTCGAGCGACGAGACATCTTCACGACACGTGAAGCTCGGGTATATCGTGCAATATCGTACGCGCGCGCGAGAAAATAATTATTATCGCGGGGCGATTTAATAAAGCCGGTTATAGCGCGACTAGATCAGACTAGATACAATGGACTCGTGCGAAAAATTTATTCCAGTGACACAAAAATGTTTGCGGTGCTATTAGTCGCGAAAAAGTGAAAAAAGGAGAGGAGCGAAAAGCACCGCGTTCACGAGAAACCCGACTAATACTGAATGACGCTCGACCATTCGACTGTGTAAGCATCAACAGGACGCACCAGTGCTACGCACCGCACGCGGTAAATCAGCATAGTGTGACAAGGGGGGAGAAGGGGGATGATGGGGGGAGGAAGAGGGGAAGGGACCACCGGCGTTAACCGACAATAGATTGAATAAGAGAGCGGGGCGAGTATGAGGAATCGCCCACGTCAAACGGCATCCGTCGACTTTTACATTTAACTTGTGTGCATTAGAGTAATTATCGCGTAATTATCTACGAAATAACTAACAGCGTGTGCGTTGTTCTCGAAAGTTTTTACAAACCCGCCAAATAGTGCTCGTACACACACATTTGTTTCATTCCAACAATGAATATTCTATTATCCATTAAATATATTAATTATTTCATTGCATTATTCTATCAATAATCATGGATAATTATTTTTTATTGTCGTTGTATAATAGTATATTTACTGACTATTATAATATATATATTAAGAAAGATCTGAGAAATGAAAATTATAGAATTGTTTGATCTTAACATCATTGTGTCTCTCCTGATATCTCTATGTGTGTATATGTGCACATTTTTTCATAATTAATGCATAATATAAATAAGACAAAATGTATTGCATGTTCCGCAAAACAAATATCCTCTTACAATTAGCAAAATCCACAAAATAGAATCCGTTAATATTTTTCCTGCAAATAAGATGAAGCACAGCTCTTTTCCTTGGTTATACAAACAACTCCAATCAATTATCTCTATAATTTCCATCTCTTAATATGTATAAAGAACATTTTCTCCCACGATGTATATCTGTGCGCATAAAATATAAGAGACAATACAGCATACATAATAATGTCTTTTATATCTAAATAAAAATCTGATATATTTATGAGAGCAATGTCAATGTTATAATTATAGTAAGAAAAATTATGCCAGTATACAGTTATAATTTTATAATTATATACTAGCATAATTTTTCCAGATGAGCAAGCATTCACATTTGATAAATTTGCCAAGCATAACCTATCTGATCATTTCATGTATTTTTTCACACGTTTCTTTCAAATAGATAGCGGATCTAATAAAATAAATCTAAGTCAATATTTATTAATCTCTGCCGGATAACAAGCTAAGAACGAATCTCACAATTAACGCAAAATGCAAAGTATTTTTAAAAGCAGTCGCAACAAACCGCGGTAATCGCAAAATCAGAAAAATTCATTAATTTGCACTCACCACATAAGTTCTTGCATTTCTAATGCTCTCTCGTCTACGAACTCTCGTTTGATAGTCATTTAAGCAGGACAAATAATTATTCTCCTTGTAAGAAACATTGTTTAACGACTTGCGTGACGTTTGAACGCTTTTTCTTCGCGGCGCCATTTTGTCATTCGAATTTTTTATGGCGAATGTGCACGGTTTACCACCGGTTCACCGTTAGGACCATAGACATATAATATATAGACATTCTATATGTCTATAGTTAGGACGCCGAATCAACACATTGTGAATTTTCATGAACTGAAATTAAAATGAAAAAGGATTTTATATTTAAGAAATAAATAATTATATAAAGATACAAAATTTCTAGTTCCTCTTATACATATTTTTTTTAAATGTCATGAAATATTTTAATTGAAGTTTAAATCGCGTTGCACATCATTGGACATCAGTTTAAAGAGACTAATAGAGAGAGGTAACAGGTGTGTATGTACATATGTACAAATATACTATACTACTCTCTTATATAGATGATGAATGAGAATATCTAGAGATAATTTTACAATTGTTGAAATTCTTAAAAACATGTATTTAATTAATACAATATATCGCATTTTGAATCGTTGATCAATCCAATTTACCGGGCTTTAAAGTATAATTTAAAATGATTCGAAAATGCGCGCATAATATTGCCAACCAAAAGTTAGGCAGTTTCAATATATTTATAATATATTTCATAAGCAAGACAGAGATTAGCTACAATATCATACATAATAATGAAAAATTTCAAATTTAGCCGCAAATGTGAATATGACTGAACTAAGGAAGAAGCCGTTTATTTCTTCTCTTTATCTTTATCTTTTTCCTTTTCCTTCTCTTTGTCTTTATTTTGTTGTAATGATCCGACAGCTTGGCGAACAGCTTCAGATTGTGGATCCACACCTGGTAAGTTCTCCAAAACAGATTGCAGAAAAGCAGGATCAGACATGACAGCTGCATAATCTTCTTCTACATCCATTGCTTCTTCTTTTTGCGATTCTAGTTCTTCTACATAGTGATAATAGAAGTGAGCGATTTCGGAATGACTATTAATACATTGATTTTACATTTATTAATCAAAGACTTACGTTGATCTTGCATGGACATTTGCATAGCGAAGGCAATTTGTTCTTCTTCTGTCATATTAGTAAAATCTGGTACATTGCCTCTGCATGGAGCAGTGTCATCAGCAGCGGCAGTTGAATCTTCTGCTCCTTCAAGAGACATAGCGAGAGCACGTTTTAGCATAGCCTCTTCATTGGGAGCTTCTTTTATGGTTTCCGGTTGCTTATTCGTGGTAGTCTCATTTGCTTGCGCGCGACGTGCCTCGTCTTCTTGCCGTTGCCGTTGTTCTTCCATAGAAACACGTAAAGCCTAAGAAAGATAAATCATACAATTTATAAAATCATCATTATTCTCGCAGGAAACACTAACAAGATGTGTTTCAGGTACTGACCAATGCAAGTTCGGGATCCTCGTTTGGATCGACACCAAATTCGAATGCAGCACTACCCATACCAGCTGCACCCATTCCATCTTCACCCTGGATTATAGGAGAAGAGATCAGAGCATCTGATAGATGTGGTCCTGGTGGAACAGTGACGAGATGACTTCCAGTGCCATCTTTACCATTCAACGCGTTCACGAAGGCTGTCAATACTTCATTATTGATACTCTCTTCGCCGAAACTTATGACATCAACATTCACTTTTTCCTTTTTCAAACGTTTGGCTAGTTTGACCAATTCCTTTTCATCAATGTCTATTGGACTTCCGATAAATGCAACAATACGCATTTTATGGTTTTTGCCTTGTCGATGCTTTAACGCTAACTAAAAGTTTTATAATTTTTAATGCACGTTTGATAGACATACTTGTAAAGTCAAGCCAAATAAGTTACACATACATGGGCAATCCTAATTCCTGTGATGAGACACAATTTTCCATTTGGTTGAACCTGATGGAGCTTGGATAGTATTCTGCCGACATCACTCGTGAGCGTTGCTAATACTTCAACGCTAAAAAGATAAAGACATGTACATTTAATATGCGATGAATGTTTACGTTCACGATAACTAACAATACATCTGAATCGTACTTAGCAAGAGTTATGAGGCCAACGTTGTTCTCAGGATTCGAACGAGTCTTGGAATGACACACCAAGTTGACAGCATCTTGCTGCGCTTGTAATCGAGTTGGTACGAAATCCCCGTTTCGCATAAAATCGCTGTTATCAACGCTGCACATGTTGAGATTAATTAGTTTAAGATTATTTAAAAATCACGTAAGAGTAAATATTTCAAAGGTTCATGTATATTTATAAGATTGTCAACGTCATTGTCATCACGCTAACCTCGAAATTTCAATATAGTTAACTGTATATAAGCGTATAGAATTAAATAAATGTTAAAACGTCCCATTTATAAAGTAAAACGATTTCGCAAATTCAATAGCAATATCGCCAGAAGCAATGGAAATGAAATGAAAGAAAAACTTACCATATCATCGTACTTTCCAGCACCATGTTGGATGGATCGTCTGTTGACTGCTTTATTCGACGCAAGAGGACGCGACAATTTAATCCAATTTTCATCAACTCACGTTCGCGTTGTGCGCATGCGTATATATATAATTTAAAGAGCAACAACTGGTCATGAATATTTTCTGAACTAGGTTTACAATACTTTACATTTAATAACACATTTAATTTTTACATCATAAATAGCAATTATAATCAACAGCTTTACATTGCTTCTTTCTTTTTTACTTTCTTTTTTTTGGTGATGCAACGTCGTAAAACAGCTGATTCGATCTGGAAAAATTTATATACATTGCATATTGCGTTCGATACCCGATATATGTATATATACACGTAGTAATAAAAATTAATAAGCGCGTTTTGTATTATTAATATTATTATTAGTTTATTAGATATTTTTAAAAATTACAAAATATATTTTACAGACTATTATCGATTCTCTTATACATACAGCGTTATATCCCTATTGGATATCGCAATATATGTATATAAAATAAAGATATTCTCGTTACATAATGTGCAATGCAACACTAAATATGAATTATTCGCAAAATAATATGACTTTATATGCATTCGTGGGTAAAAATAGATTTATCGCTTTCGCTGTTAATTATATTTTGCACACACACACACACACACACACACATGCACGCACTCATTTTTATTATTATACAATAATACAGACATTTTATTACGTATATGTATAAAAAGGTAACGATAATTCTCTACGTGGAATGTGGCTTAATTACGAGATTCGTAAAGACGAGGGTGGGTGAGGGTGGTGGTGTGGACGGTAACGAGCTATCGTCATTTAAAGCGAGCGACGAATATCTTGGCGCTTCGCTCGAGAAGACGGCCTGTTCGTAAGATGGCGGCAAATCTTCCCCCACAGCGGCCGACAAAGCGTGTAATTTCCTCGCTTGCTTCCTCTCGTCCAGAATGCGTAAAATAATCACGACCGGTCCTACCAGCAACATAATTGCTCCGATCGCTACCATGGTGACTGCCGTTGCCGCGCCGCCTTTATTAGAGAATTTTATCCTGTCACTATTGCTCCTCCAAAGACTACTATTCATCGCTTGATGGCCGGTGTTTTCGCGAGTAAAAGATTTCGGTTTGTTTTCCACGGAATTGAGATCCTTCCTTTTCGCATCACGATTCTCCTCCTCCTTGGATTCCGAAATGGATCCTATACGTGTGATGTTCTCTTCCGTGTGGATATTTTTTAAAATTTTGCTGAAGATGTGTTCCTCCCTATCGCGAGCTATCCTCAAGATTTTGCTCGACGCGCTTTTATTTTCAGGATGATCATCGATACGATTTATTTTCGTTAAATGATTTTCTACTCGCAATTTTTGTCCATCAATCGTTGAATTTTCAAAAGAATTTGATGGGAACAGGGCAGATCGTTTCTCTTCCGAAGCGATTTCAAACTCGTTTCTAATTGCGTTCAATTCAGGATAATTTCTATTATTTCGTAGAGACAATTCTGGATCTACGCGAATTATTATCTTCTCATTCCGATTGATCAATTGTTGCTGGGCGGATGCTATGGCAAGATCATATTCATTTTCGGCGCTTTTTATAGACGTGATGGATTCAATAGACAAACCGATCGATGAATTTGTCTGGAAAAAATAAAAAATATATATTCTAGATAATTTCACTTATATGATTAATCACATATATTAATCGAGTTTCAGTTACTTCGATAATGTGGCCAGTTTCCAGCATTCTCTTCCGCAAAATACTAACGCCTTTTTGAAGAAGGATAATACCGACTGCGTTCCAGATGACCAGATGTAATATAATGATTATTCTTGAGGCCCATCTGTTTGTTCTCAAAGTGAGGGACATTACGACAACATCACATTGGCAATTAGTCGGAAGTCAAGGCGTGACACTTTTCACACACTTGCTGCTCCTTTCTCCACTATAACTAAGCAACATTTTCGTCATGATATATTCACCGCTCGGATCTCGCTGCAGACGATGAGTGACATATATCTAAAATGTTAAAAGAATACCGCAGGATCTAACAATTTCAATATTCATATATCAAGATTAAATATATTAGTTCTATACATGACTTTAAAGCCTCAATTAATCATTCTTGCATGGCATAAATATAAAACGACCAAATTATATAATCTATAAATTATTCAAAAAAATATATATTTGTCATTTTATATATAATAATTAATTTAAAATACATAAGCTATAAAAACGATACGCTTAGATATATTTCGCAAAATAAATATCATAGGTGCATTTTATTCTTGGATAATATTTTTATTCGATTTAACATTAATTATTAATTTTATTGCAGATACAAAAGTGATACAGTAGAACTTTTATTATCCGAATTAGCCGGAAAACAAAGTTTGAATCGACTTTTCCAGATAATCAAACAATTGTGTTTTAAAGTAAAGAAAGTTTATTTATTATATTAGATATATTCTGTGTGTGTATGTGTGTGAATGCAAATATGCCAATAATTTTAATTTTACTTCTTCATTCTATTTTCTTAGTATTTCTAAGCTATTGTAGTTTACACATGTTTCTTAACATAATTGTGTTTTATATAGAGAGATGTTTTTTTTTTTAATGCTTTGTACAACGTATATATATTATCTAAGACCTACTTGATGGTATATATATATGATGTATGTACATGCATTTAAACTCTTATACTTGCGTAATTTGTGACATATATTAACTTTTGTTTCCTGACACTGTTCAAATAATCGAGCGTTCATTTGATTAATTATGATGTTCGAATAACAGAGGTTCTACGGTATATATTTGTTTTACGTACAACACGCGCAGATAATTATTTTGAATCTCGGAGAGGCACTAATTTATGCATGCTTGAACACATGAGGTAATCTTTGAGACACTATATGGTGGCAAAATATTCCGAGAAAAATATGGAAATTTTTATAACGTTACTATAGCAATTCACGGTTGAGCGGCATGAACAGTCGTCCTAAGCGCAGCACGATTACGACTTATTTGCCCAGTTATACGCGACGGGTCGCAGAGAGCAATAGCGAATGACTCATTTCCACTACCTTGCACCATCCCGTTATCCCGTAACGCTTTATACATACAAAACATGACGACCCTGAAAAATTGATGCCTCGCACTAACAAGCATATATATCGTGGTAACAACATTATTACTCGACATATTATCCGCATTGCATATGCGAAATAATGCGCATTATTTGTGTAGAAATAGATTGCGCTTGATATCGGTTACGTCGCGTTAAATTTGCGTAAGAAAATTTACTGTTTACCGTTTAAATTTCTGTTTTTATATGTCAATGGATATATATGTACTACACGAGATATTCGTAAAGTAAAATAACGCGTGCGTTGGATAATAGCTGTGAAATACGAAAAATATAAATAATAAATACGAAAATAATATTATTATTCTAATTTTTAATAATATTAGGTTCTAATTTTTAAAGCGTTCTATTAAAGAAGACATAAAGGAATATGGAGACAGATTCAAATGCAATCGCATATAGTTTTTGTATTCAATAATTCTTTTCCGGCGATTGCAGATAGTGGTGTCATCTAATGTACAACAGGGCAAATCAATGAAAGATGTAAAGCCTGCAGCCTGCAGAGCGCCATGTGCAGCCACATTCAGTCATAGTCATGTCAGAAGCGAACAATTTTGTACTTGTGACTCGTCGAAGAAAACAACGTAACCCAAAGAAAAATTTGTGCGGAGACGTGACTGCTCAGTGCGTGGCTACGCAGAACTGCGAGATCAATCGCGAGCTTCTCCTTCGGTAAGCCGTGTCTTGTTTCGCGAACAACGAAACAGGTTTAATTACCTAATCTCTGACTCCCTTTAACCCGAGTTAACCCCTAATCGCAATACGTTTTACGGCGATTTTCAGCACGTTAGGCAACACGCTAATCGAGGTCAGAGATACATCGTTTACCAAGTTTGTTCTTAGCAAGCTGACGGAGTCTCTAACCGTCCTAGACTCTAACGGTATTTCCGAGATAGTCTGCTACGGGTTAGGACGATTCTCGCAGTATAGGTCGTCGAGATGTCAATTGGCGCTTCTGCTGTGCTTGAAGGCGCGATACGTGAACGCTCGCGTACACGTGTACGACCCAGTGTTTTGCCCCGAGGAAGTGCAAGTTTTGCGTGCTCAGGGTCTAGAGATTATAGAGAGGAACGAGGAGGGCAAGCGTATAATTCACCGAGATAAAACGACTCTCGTATACATGCCGCATTGCTCGCGGCAGTTGACCAATAATTTTCTTTACGCAAACTGGGGAGTTGGATTAAGCAATTGCATTCTGCTCGCTAATAGCTTCTCAGGGATAGTTGACAATTGCTTGCACAGGGATGTACTGAATATGGCAGGTTACATATTGCGCATTCGACCTTATGTTACAGAAATTCAATTGGAAAATTCCTTCGCGTACGAGGAAGTTTTCAACGATCTTAGCATTCATATCTTTACCAAACAAGATTTGCTTAAAGCTCCGGCAGATTTCTGGAATTCTAGAGAGGAACCACAATATTTAACAGACGACGTGGAATTTATTGCAGCTGCACGGTGATAGTTAACATTCAACGTGCATTGTGTAATTATTTTCTTTGGTTCTCGTATGTCGATTTATAACATAGAACATAGACTGTTTTTGTACGACTAATGGCTTAATTCACTTTTAGAATACAGCGACAATGAATAGTAATATCGAAATTGTTCGTTCTCTCGCGCGAGAACTACGTCGAGTCTCGCAGAATAAGAGTATGAAAGAGAATGCAATGTTACAATATATCATGGAACAAGCGCATGCTCATAAAGAGACATCTCAAGTTTTGTGTAAAGCAAGGGAAGAATTGAAGAATTTAGCGGAGACATATCTTTGTTATGTGAAATCTCAACAAACATGTAAAGATATTCATAAACAATATGCTGGTAAAGGTGAACGTAGTATAAAAGAAACAGCAGATCTTGTAGGTTTTAAACTACCTCATGATCCAAAATAAAATGGATATAAATAGAAATATTTAAAATATTATTAGTGCGATACAAGTATTCTTGTTCTCTTGCTTGTACATTTGCCTATCTTTATTGTATTTCTGTAAAGATAATCTATAAATGAAGATTTTAATTAAAGATTATCATACTAAATCTGAATTTATTTTATGCAACATATTTCTCTATACATCTCCCTTTTTTACAAAAATACAAAATTGTATCATTGTAATAAATATATTTCTTTTAATTTTAGTGTTTAGGAATTATAAATTATACATTAGAATATTGGGCGTTTCTATTCGATCATAAGAAATTGACTTATAATATAAAAATATAAAAATATATTCCTATAATGAGAAAATAATACATGTGTGTTTTATCTTGAAAATGACTATCGTGATGCAATTTAGGCCAAACATACATCACAATTTTTAAAAAATTTATACTGATTATCATTCAGGAATATTGCTTACGTATACATTTTGCAATTGTAGACAACTGCATATTACTCGTGCCTTCGTAAATAGTGCCAATTTTCGAATCTCTAAAGTATTTCTCTTGCGGGAAGTCTGTGGTAAATCCAACACCTCCCATAAAGTCTATGCACTTTGCAGTGATACGTAGCGCAGTTTCTATATAATAACATATATTATTCTTTTGTTCATGTTTGAATTTATAAAAAAGAACTTGAGATTGGCAAATTACGTACCAGATGCGACTAATTTGGCCATAGCCGCTTCCTTCATAACGTTCTTTTTAGCGTCTACTAATCTAGCCGCGTTATAAACGAGCAATCTGGCACATTCGAGTTCAGTTGCAACTTGAGCTATTTGATGTTGCATCGACTAAACAGATTTCATATTGGAAACAGATTATTTCTCAGATGACGATCTAACGAAAAATAATAAACAGATTCTTAATCGTACCTGGAATGAGAAAATGTCATGTCCAAATTGCTTTCTTTCCAATGTGTAGGGTATAGTCGCATCTAGGCATCCTTGTGCAATTCCGATCATTTGTGCTCCTATTCCGATTCTACCTTCGTTGAGGAATCCAGCAGCATATTTGTATCCATGTCCAAACTCGCCCAAGATATTGCTTTCAGGTACCTACAGAATAAAAATATTAAAATATATATAATATTAGTTATAATAAAATAAATAATTGATTTTATATATTTATATTTGGTAAGAGAGCAATATATCTCTATATATTCACATATACAGATATGTACAAAGAGCTTTATTATATTACCTCTGATACGTACCCTAACATTGTCAAAATGAATCATGCAAGTTCCGGATGCCTTAATGCCTAATTTTTCTTCGGGTTTAGCAACTGTTAAACCAGGCGTGTCGCGGTCCACGAAGAAAGTTGTGATGCCGCGATATCCCTGTTTTAATTAAAAGAATATTGCATCAATTGATTTTTTTAAGCTTTAAATAATGTATTCTTATCGGTTTTTTTTTTACCAAGTACATAAGGATTTACTCACCGCGGAAGGATTCGCATTAGCAAAGACCAAAAAAACTCCCGCTATATCCGAATTTGAAATCCACATTTTTGTTCCATTAATAATGTAATCAGAACCATCCTTTTTTGCTTCGGTCTTGAGGGAAAAAGCGTCCGATCCTGAACCAGGTTCCGTTAGACAAAAACTCCCAGCCTAAAAAAGATATATATACTTTAAATTATTTTATTTCTTTAGAGACCTACATATCAGGAACAATAACGTATTTTTTTTCAACTTACGTAGTTTTGTGCTAATTTAGGCAAATAGATTTGCTTTTGATCTTCGGATGCAACTTTAATAATCAGCGAATTCACCAATGTGTTATGGATATCTACAAGAGCAGCTACCGCTCCATCGACTTTAGCAACTTCTTCGATAGTTAAAATGGTACTCATAAAATTGCTACCTGCGCCGCCGTAATCTACTGGAATTTCCAGACCCATTAACTGAAATTGACAAAGAGAGTTTCAGATATTAAATATAATTTAATATAACATATCTCTTTATTTTATTAATATACTAGAATATTAAAAAATGCCCTATATTATGCAAAATAATGGTTGAAAAGATTGGTATTATATAGTAAAAAACACTGATAAATGATCTTATTATTAAACATTTTATGAAATTCTATAGAATTAATTTTTTCTTTTATTGTTAGCAAGAGAGAGCAGCGAGCGAAAAAGTTTCAAAATTTATTTTGTCCAATATATTATTTATATATGAACTATTATCCACATGTTGATTACATTGTGAAACAAATTTAATTAACATGTATATTACAAAAAAATAAAAGAAGATATTTATATACATATTATCATGAAATCTTTGTGTCTTATTGTTAGTATGAGCTGCATAAAGATACGAGAGAAACAAGAAATATCTGTCCTCGTTACAAGTTGCGTAAAGACGAGATATTTTTTATCGCCTTGTATACATATGTATATTGTGTAAAAACATGATATACATGTGCAGGAGCAATAAAAAATATTTTGTTCTCGTGCAGTTTGTAATGAAAAAGCATATCTTTTTTCTTTATCTTTTCCAATTTGTTAATTTAACGCATTAAATGCGTTTTTACGCGATAATGCATCAAACATTCGTAAGGCGCATTTGGCATTATCATATTTATACAATAAATTTCGTAATCGCGACCAGATAAATACAATTTTAGATTTTAATGATTGGAAGTCTGAATATCTTTACTTATCGAAACTTGCAATATGCGGCTAATAAAAACTAACAGATTCTGTGAAATACATCAGTATATATAACGTGTCCTCGGTTTTGTCGATGAAATTGTGTCAGTATATTTTATAAGTAAAAATAAAGAAAAAAGATATTAACAACATTCACGTATATTTTATTAAAAGATCATGCGAATTATGTAAAATACGTACGCAAGAGAAAAGAAAAAGAGACAGTTTCTCGTTTCAAAATATCTATTCGTTTGTCAACACAAGATTAAATATCTGTCCTCGTTACAAGTTGCGTAAAGACGAGATATTTTTTATCGCCTTGTATACATGTGTATTGTGTAAAAACATGATATACATGTGCAGGAGCAATAAAAAATATTTTGTCCTCGTGCAGTTTGTAATGAAAAAGCATATCTTTTTTCTTTATCTTTTCCAATTTGTTAATTTAACGCATTAAATGCGTTTTTACGCGATAATGCATCAAACATTCGTAAGGCGCATTTGGCATTATCATATTTATACAATAAATTTCGTAATCGCGACCAGATAAATACAATTTTAGATTTTAATGATTGGAAGTCTGAATATCTTTACTTATCGAAACTTGCAATATGCGGCTAATAAAAACTAACAGATTCTGTGAAATACATCAGTATATATAACGTGTCCTCGGTTTTGTCGATGAAATTGTGTCAGTATATTTTATAAGTAAAAATAAAGAAAAAAGATATTAACAACATTCACGTATATTTTATTAAAAGATCATGCGAATTATGTAAAATACGTACGCAAGAGAAAAGAAAAAGAGACAGTTTCTCGTTTCAAAATATCTATTCGTTTGTCAACACAAGATTGATATTGTCGGGAAATTTATTTTGTTACTCTGTGAATTTTGTTTTGATTTTGCTTATATAATCTCAGTGAATGCTATATTATTTCTTTCTATTAGAGTGTTCTTTTATTTATTGGTCGTTAAGAAATCGTCTCGCGTCAAGTAATGTCGACAAGACCGGCTGTGTATATAAGCTACGTTGATCACTTTCAATGACTTTAATATATTCACTGTTCGTTCCTTTATTTTTTTACTACCTTTATCTTTTAGTCCATATTCATCATTATGCATTATATTCTGTTTCTTATTTAAATCCGGATGAATAATACGATGCATTTTTTATTTATTTATTTTTTTTGTATATTTAAAAAGGCAAATATTCTTTTTTTTTTTTTTAATTGTATTATACATATAAATATATAAATAATATTATTATGATTTATAAAAAAACATGTCAATGTTTAAGTATTACACACACAAGAATATATATAAATGATATGTCCCCTGTAGACGCGCGCGTATGTAAATAAGTAATAAATATGATCAGATAAACAGTTTTGATAGGTGTTATGAACCTTTTGTTTGTTTATTACTGAGACAAATTAATCGATAAAAAACAAAAAAAAAAAGAATTCTCTATATATAAACACATTCGATTTAAAAACCTAATTCGATCTAATTATCCAAATTATTGTTTTGAAAAGACTTACGCCGTTCTCGAATAGTGTTTTTAAGAGATGATCATCTATTTTCCCCTCCTTTTCCATTTTCCGTACCAGTGGAGCAATTTCCTCTTTAGCCAGTTTAGCGACTGAAAAATAAAGATATATGATATTTACGAATTGATATGTTGCAATGAAATAGACTTTCGCAAATCGACTAGCTTGTTTATCGTTTTAGAGTAAAACTGTGATAATAAATGATTAGTATTCTTACCAGTTTCTTTCATCATAAGTTCATCATCCGTAAATTGCGTCAAAGGAGTTGGACAATGATTGAGTCTTGACATACATAAATGTACTCCTCGCGTTTGCGTCAATCTTTTTGGTATCTATAAAAAAAAAAAATATATATATATGTGTGTGTGTGTGTGTGTGTGTGTGTGTGTGTGTGTATAATCTACTATTTTTTCTAATACACATACGAAATATGTTTGTTATTAAAAAATACATATTTCCTGTTTCTCTTGTATTAAAAAATATACTGATAAACATGTGCGTGCGTGCAGAAAATTGATACATCTGGTCTGTCAATTGTCATAATCAGCCATTTAATCTTAGGAGTAGGACATAGCATTGCACATTCAATTATGTATTCACAATGAATATTTTCAATAAAAATAAAAATGTTATGCCTAATAAAATTATAATGTTATCCTTGATGTAATATATAGTACAAATAAATGCTAAGTAGTTGAAATTAATATTAGAATCTTTCTCTCGATATACGTACATCTGAAAACTTTTGCAAAAATCGATGAAATTTATTTATTATTTCATTATAAATTTTTCTATGTAACTAAAATTTTAAAAAGTATTATAAAGGGATTATTTATGCTCACGCGTACTTCACGGAAGATTGATCTGAGTATAGGCGCGTTCATGCTTGTATGTGTGTCTTTCGGCTCGTTTATGTGAAGAATATGCCCGACGATGTAGGTGCTTCGCAGGCTAAGTTAACACTGACTAAGACTATTTGGTGTGGATCGGTTTTTGTCGTTCCGTGCCGGTCGAGAGGAGCCGATCTGGATTGTGCAGTGGTGTGCGTACAAAACAGGTTGTTGCGTAATAAAGAATGTAGAAGTTAATCACATCAGACCAGCTCCAGTGCTCTGCCAATCTGTTGAAAGTATTTGCTCCATCATTTTTTATGTGATTTATTATATGCGTCAACAATAATTGGCTTTTTATCCATTCATGTTTATGCCTTATACTTATCATGAGCACTACATATAGTTATCAACATGAGCACGATTGTTCCAAGATACATATCTATAGTCAAGAGAAAGAGAAACGATCTTCTAATTGACGGCAGATAAGGCTAGAATTTTTCTTTTATTTGATAAACTTTTCATTTTTGTGGAGCTATTATATTATGAAATTTCGTTATCGCAATGATTGCTTTATCTGTCGACGATAGCTTAACAGTTCTGTGTACAAAACTTTTCCTATTTAGAGTTTTATAAATGATATTTTTAAATGTAGATTAATTATCAATTGGGAAATTATTTTTGAAAGCATTTAAATAGTTCACGATAAATAGCACAACAAGCGAGATATTATATATTTAATATATTAGAACTATTGTCGAAATATTTGTTACATACTTGTATACTATTTTATGTGCATACCTTTTTAATTGATTTTGTGAGAAAAAATAGAATTCGTCATTTTATATGATGCGCAGATAATATACGAATGATGTTTTATATTAATTGTATTGATATCTATCGATTAAGGACAGATTATTTTAAAAATGAAGAAAGATAAAAGTTGGATTCATTTTACGATCATATACTTGCTCTTTCGTGCTCTTCTGAAATACATATAAAAATATTAAATTTTATATATAGTATTATATACATATCTATAATGTTTCTCAAAACAAAACAAAAAAATGGTACATATATTTATTACTCGACGATACTTCATTAGACGATCGTTTAGATAAATTATATGCATACATAAAAAAGTTTTTATAAGAGTTTTTATAAGATGTAATCGAGATCATTTTAGAATTCTGGTTCATATAATTCTATTTTTTATATTATATCACACACGAATATATATTATAAAATAATCGATTTTTATAGTAAAGTAGATGTAACAATCGCATATGTATATATATACGTACCATCCCATTAAAACAATTTTTCGTATATCGATTCTTTTACATCGATTATTTTACAAAGAAATCGATCTGAATCGACGATTCTTGGCGATCAATCGTGCTGGCAATTATCTCCCATTCAAATTTGAAAAATGAGGGTCTTTATATATCTTTTTTTCCATCTATCAAAGAAAAAGGGGTGATAGGATGATTGGCATCCAAGACGAATATATTTATTGAATTTTAAGGGAAAAGAAATGAAAATATGTTGGCAATCCTGTCCGCGAATGTGGACAATCGACGATAGGTGGCGATAGATCGCTGGCAGTTTATTTTAGCGGCCATCTCGTATACTCTATCGCAGTTGGTTCATGGACCATTCGTGAGATACGTGCGGCGTTTACCTGGAAACTGTCCAGTGACCAGTCATCAGTTATCATCGGTTTCTCGAGGATCGCGACGACGTCGCGACCGATCCCGTGTATAGCGTGCGAAACGAAAATCGGGATATCAACTATGCGAGTTTTCGCAGGTCTCGGAGAAGAGATAAAACGCTCGTAAAAGGACCGTGGGTATTCGGTGAGATCGACAGTTTATCGACGCCGGATCCGCATCGAGTAATTGAGATCGGGCGAAGTGCGGTTTATCAATGAGCGGACAATAGATATATATTCGGACAGAGTCGGGAGTCGACGCGGGAGATCGGCAAGCGTCAGGCCAGGCCCTGGAACGTCGTCAGGCGGCAGAAACGGAGGCGGCGGGTGTAGAGGCGGTGGCGGAGGCGGGGAAGCTGTTCATCGAACGGAACAGCCGCGCGCGCGGTGTGATACGGACGGGCGAGCTGTTGTACGGTTCGTGAAACGGGCACGGGCACTATCTCGAAAAGGGAGGAGGAGGAAGCGGCTAGGCGACGGCGATCCCTTTAGGTTGGTAAGTCAAAATACTTATAAAGTCGCATCTCTCTTTATTCTCCTCGCTATTGAATATTCGAGCAACGACTCCGCGAGCCACTTATCGTCAGACCTCAATTTTTTCGTCGCGCTTTCTCCCTCGTGAGGGAGCGCTCGCTCTCGTCGTTCTTCTCGACGCGCCCGTTACTCTCGGTTCGCGCCCGACAATGAATGACGTAGCGCGAGGGGTGTGTCGACGTCGGACCGATGCCACTACTAATTCGACGCGGATTACGATACCACGCGACTCCACCGCTTTCTCATTGTCGTTGTCAGACATTTGCGAGTATACGCGCGGCGACGCCCGATCACGGAGTCTCTATTCTCCGCGTCCTTCCGCGCGTCTCTTCCGCACGCATTCGCCGATTCCAACGATCGAAATCTAAATTCGCTCCCCCCGCCCCGAAATGTCGCCATTTGCATCATCCTCTGTGTCACTGTCCGTAACGCGAGCTACCCCGTCATACCATTATCACAAATTCTTATCGACGATAAGTGGGACGATTTTCTTCGCGAGCAACGCTTGGGTTAAACGTTCCGCTTGGCTAATTATGTGAACTCGTTCGGGATTGTCTGTCGAGCGACAGGTTTCGTTGTATTGTATGTCGGAAATAATTTTACATATATCGTCTCGGTGATCAATTTCCAATAGAATTCCAATGTAACACAATTGCGTGTCACTGTGGACGGATGGATAAAGACACCGGCGATTTGTCATCGGCGTGTTTCGATAATTTTGATAGTGACCTTTTCACAAAGGTCAATGCAATAATACATTCGAGAGCTTTTACTCGAGCTCGAGACAGTCGCTTTAATCGTAGTAAGCGTCTATCTGACAGAAACGGTGAAATACGAGTATAATGTGTACACGCGATATAAAGATATATACGTCGCTCACGCAATATATAATTTAGTGAGAGTTCAATAGTCGACGACGTGTTCTGGGTATAATCGATTCTCTATTGCTTCTCTTTATCACTATCATTTTCGTCTCTTATAATTGATAGCGACTCTAGAATGCGTTGCTCGTTCGCTACGACGAACGTAATCTGCGATTAGCTATGACGTCATTGCGTAAAGTGTCCGTCGTCGCTGCCGGTCGGACGCCAGTTGATGATAAACCCCGTTTACGTGCTCGTTTTGGCGTATGATGTCAGTGTTGAAGCAAAAAAGGAAAAAAAAAAAAAAAACCTTTCCGCGATACGAACGTAAACTCCCGTATTTTTAATTGAATGGAAAGATTTATTATTATCGCGATTATATTATCGATGACTCATGCTGCTCCGTTGCTCGCTTACACAATATAGGTATTCGTTTACGATACCGTTTGCCCTATGTCAATAACCGGCGAATAACCGGAGATTCACAAGAATTCACGACATTAAAGAGCGATCGATCGATATGAATTGAAAGACTGGTTGATTGACGTTACGATATAAAAACTCGAGGTAAAATTTGAATGGCTCTTCCGGCCGAAAACCCGTTGTACTTTTCGCGGATCCGTAAACAAGTGCGTGCCACAAGCACGTGCGCAGGTGCACACGCACGCACGCACGCAGTGCGATTCTATAGCTATATTCTAGCTTAGCAAGTTGCGTAAGGGGGCTGATCGTCATCGCATCACACGGGTCCCCGCGTTGGATGCAGGCACTACCTAGTAATACATCAGTTTGTTTTCTCCTCTATTTTTATCACGCTCTCTTCTACGTGCAATTAGGATACGGTTAAATGTAAATGAAAACAAGATCGAATAGAGAAACCAGGGAATTCTTATGGAAATTTATATTGGGATTCAAGGAATTTTTTAAAAAATATGTGTTTAAAATATATTATAAATATATATCTATCTCTTTTTATATTCAATGTCTTAACAAAATATTAAATATGCAATACATATTCTTTATTGTAATTTTTAGTCATCAGAATTTAATACTAAAAAGCATACAATAAATAAACTTCTTTTAGAAAGATGCATTAAAAAATCATTAAAATATTCTCTTTATCTGGAATTTTAAATAAAAATACCTATTAAATCGATACCAAATACTATTTATTGGTTTTTCGCTAATTATTATTATATATATCTACAGGATGCTTTCTCGGCGCTGCGTAAGATGAACGTGAGATGCGAAAGGTTGTACGTAAAAGAAAGAAAAATTTGCTAACAAAAGACATATTCGACTCCGTCCCTGGCCTTTCTCTATTTTAAGACGAGGACTTGCGCGAACACTCGCGCCGAGGAAACTCAGCGAATCTCGTCTGTGTGATCGCTTTCATTCAGTTCACGGAATGGTCCACGCATTGTCTCGTTACCGTTGAGATAAGCGTCGAGGCGGCATGCAACCCCAAAAGGATGTAATCGACGTTTGATGTAGAGTAACATATATCATCATTGTGTTAAAGTTCATACGCGTTAGAAAATTTCAAGATATGATTGTGCAGAGCATCACGAGCGATCGAAACTGGAACTCGATAATTACTTTAATTGCCGCAATATAATTTATGGAAATTTATATCTTCCGTTTGCTCGAAAAATCGAGATGTGGCCGAGCATTCGTTGTCCTTAATTATGTGTTTCTCTGTCAACGTAACTTCTCTTCCTTTCTGTCGCTCTCTCGATATTGGCCATTTCGCCGATATTACGGACAATATTACGACGCTGTATCGCGTTGTGTGTCAACGAGGCAGCGCGCGTATACGAGGGACTTAAACGAAGCCACTTATGCCAAATACCTAAACCCCTTAACGTTAATTACCATCAATTCGCACCGGAGCCACCATTGACAGCTGCTACTATATATTTTTGCGAGCGACGTTTCCGTATTGGATTCGGCGATGTATCGAAATTATGTACATACATATCTCTTATATTAGCTAATGCGAAAGCGGTTTCTCTTTGGCAAAGTTTCAAACGATAATACCCTGCGTTATTTTCGTATTAGGTACAAATTGTTCGAAAGCGTATCTCTATCTGTAAGGAAGCATACATTTTAATCGTATAGGTGAAAATAATACATAATACATGACGATGAGATAATCAATGAACATAAATATGTAAAACAGATATCAGACTTGGCTGTCTTTTATTCTCGCGAAATATTTATCTCTAAATAATGACGCGTTAATAAAATTGTGCGATTATTAATTATTATCTCGATAGATTTTTAATATAAAATTTCGCGAAATAAATGAAATAAAAAAATTTGATTGTACGATAATACATACGAGTTAGATTGTGCGTTTTACGCTCTTGCGTGCGGTTAACTATATATCGCACTTCTCTTCTTTTTTGTGCACCTTGCAACGGAAGTGCAGCCGCATGACACACGTTTTCCGGTGCAGTAACAATCGGAAGTTTAATCGATGGATTAATCTCATTGAAAAATTTACCCATCGGTGGTTTTTGTCGATAATCATCGTAACATTGATTTTGATCAAAGATGTGACGTTTCGTGATAAAAATAAAAAAATAAATATAATTTTTAAAAGATATATTATTAAAATGATTGTATGAGATTGCGATATAATACTGCTTATGCAAGTGAAGGAGGATTTAGCGTGGGATTCGGCCGATGGCGAGGGAAATGCGGCGTGAAAAGGTGAAAAGCGGATGCAGTAGGATAAGGATTGTATGTAGCCGAGTATATGAGAGCATTGCGTGTCCGATGCACCGGTACTTGACGTAAGGAAAGCCAAGCGGTGAACGACCGGTGACACAGATTCGAACTAAGCAAATGCTAACTGAGTAATATAGTCATTCAGCATTTTATCTTATATATATATATATATATATATATATGTATGTATGTATGTATGTATATAACGGTATAATGACAATGTATAATAAATAAATAATCCCCTTATTTAAAAAGAAAAATTAAAAAACAATTTTCGCCCGAAAGATTACGGCTAAATAAAAGGATGTCGTAACGCAAACGCGGTTCGTTGCACGCACACGATTCCTGGTAGGGCCCCGTAACTTTATTGATCGCACACCGGTAAGGTGTCCATACCTCTCGTATTGGATTCAGACGAAACGAGTAAAAATTTCGCTTACGCGTGTGACAGATCGTGCAGCTATAGTTCTCTATCTGCGTTATTTTTTTATTTTCGTATTTTTTTTCCATTATTCTTTATTTTTGTAATAAATATGTCAAGAAATTTTCTAATTTTATACGATGCGATGTCTTTTCTATTACAATTTTTAATATCGATTGCATGATTTGAAATAATTAATATAAAAATATATATATATAAGCAAAAGATTTTTACCACTTTTGTCTAATAGCGATATTGGCAAATGATATTTTTCAGTTGCCGGTACTTGTACGAGGCACGAAAATGGCAGATACGAGTCAACAACAAGCATTAAGCGAACCACACACAAATGGTGTGGTGGACGGTTTGACGGAAGATGAAAAAAGCAAGATGAGACCCGCTGATATCGATGCGGTAAGTTTCGTCGAAAATTCAGCATCCAACGATTTTCTATCCGAATTTTGCCAATGCGGAGAAAACTCGAAAACAAATTAATTAATTAAACATGCAAATATATCTTAAATAAGAGAGCTTTATTTATAGGATATGAGAGAAATGGAGAGGAGAAAGAGAGTCGAGATGATGATGAATTCGCGAATTTTCCGAGAAGAACTAGAACGTATAATCGAGACGCAGATGAAGGACGGTGCTGGACCTTCCGGTCTTTTGCAACAGATCTCCGATATGATGGGTGCACAGGGAGCCCGATTCAACGGCAATGTGTTCAAAAGTTAGTCCCAAATCGCTTCAAGTTGTATCGACTGTCTTCCTTTTCTTACTTGCATTATTATATGGTTTATTCAAAAATACAGATTCAAATTGCGTCTTACCTATCAACGACATTCGCGGTGTGGAAAGCATGGGATATGCCAAGGGCGAAAAGTTGTTACGGTGCAAATTGGCGGCGGTGTTCAGATTACTCGATCTGTACGGATGGACGCAAGGCGTCGGCGGACAAATCACCGCTCGTCTTAATCAAGATCAGGAACACTTTTTAGTAAATCCTTACGGTCTACTTTATCACGAGGTCACCGCCTCGAGTCTGATAAAGGTGGATATGCAAGGCACGATTGTCGAGCAGGGGACGACGAACTTTGGCGTGCATGTCACAAGTTTTCAATTGCACTCGACAATACACGCCGCGAGACCCGATATCAAGTGTATTATTCATATTACTACTCCGTCCGTTACCGCTGTGAGTATGCTTTGTTTTTCATTTCTTCATTCCCGACAATCTGTTTGTTTCGTATGGCATATTTTTATACTGCGATTTTGCGATATTGCTTTAACATTAATAATTAACGATTCAAATTTATTGCACTATTCCGAAAAGAATTACAACAGTGCTAACACGCACGCGATATATTGCATAGGTTTCCTCTTTGAAGTGTGGATTGTTACCGATTGGTCAAGAGAGCATAGTGATAGGCGAAGTGAGTACCCATCAATATATAGGAGGTTCTGTCGAACCGGAGGAACGGGAGAAGATTGCTAGAAACCTTGGGCCGATCAATAAGGTTATGCTTCTAACGAATCGTGGCGCTCTTTGCTGTGGAGAGACGGTGGAGGAAGCATTTTTCAACGTTTACAATACCGTAGTCGCTTGCGAGACTCAACTGAAGCTAATGCCCGCCGGTGTAGACAATCTAAACCTTATCAGCGAGGAATCGAAGAAAGCTATATTCGAAGCTTCGCGAAAATCACCGATCCCTCAGCAGAGTTCAGTAGTGGAGTCATCCGCTCTTGCGGAAAAACTCGAGAAACGCTGGAGAATCGGCGGCGCTGAATTTGAAGCTCTTATGAGAATGCTCGATAATGCTGTAAGTTCAATCGCGAGAATTATTCGATATTATAATTGGTCGTTTATAATGTCTTTTCGACGTGTTGCGTTGTTTCAGGGATTCCGTACGGGTTACATATATAGAAATCCACTCGTAAAAGGAGAACCTCCAAAACCACGGAACGATGTTGAAGTTCCACCGGCCGTATCATCCTTAGGGTATCTCCTTGAAGAGGAAGAATTGTATAAGCAAGGGTAAGTTTTTCTCCTTTTTTTTTTATTTGGACAATATTTTGCTCTAACAACAGGATAGTTAAAGTCGCACGTTCAATTGATTCCTTTTCTTTTTTTGTGCAGATTATGGAAGGGCGGGCGTAAAGGCACTGACAGATCCCGTTGGTTAAATTCGCCAAATGTTTACCAGAAGGTTGAGATCCTGGAAACTGGAACACCCGATCCTAAAAAGATCACCAAGGTAGAAGTCATTACTTTTGAGAATAAGAATGACTAATTATTTACTCACATTTTTGCGCGTACTCGCCTGATGCTAAATCTAATATAGGCATTCTTATTTGGCAATATTAATATTGTAATCGCGTATTGTGGCTGCTAATCGAATTACGACTTGCGCAATAAAGGAGGAGGAGAGCTTTAAACGCGTCAAATATTAAATAATATAATATATTGATATATATATATAAAATAATTACGATCTTGATGTATATGGAGTCGTTTATAAGATTTATTTTGCTTAATTGAATTTGAGAATAGAATACTGTTGGGAGCTTTTTTTAGGCGTGGTACCAAAATTTCAGTTTACCACTATATCACAAACTTATTTTAATTGAATTTTGACAATGCTGAGATGTTTATGTTCAAAAATTTTGAGTGTTGATCTTTTTACGAGATACACAATTTTTTTTGAAATATATCCAACATCTATATGTTATATTTCTACTACTATTACTATTTCGGTACTTTTGTGAAAATAATACAGTGATATATAACTCTATTAGCAATTTTTATTTTTGACATTTGCAGATGATAATTTTATTTTACTGAACAATATTTTAGAGATATTTTTAGCGATGAATGAGAAAGACAACGCGTATATTTATGGCCGTAAATAGATAGTATAACCTCGTATCCAATGCAATATTATGCACTGGTGTTATCAGCACAGTTGTCAACCAGTTGATCATAGAAAATTGCATTATATCATGTTAATCGCATAATTTAATTTGCTTTTTTTTTCATTTTAATTTATAGTTTAGTTTTATTATATAAATATATATGAGTAAATATATACATATATATGTTATGTTAATTAATCATGATTGCTTTTTCCATGAATTTGATGCATTCCAACTGGTGCCATTAGTCTGTATTTAATTGCTGATATGTTAAAAATTTTTGTGTTAATAATTTCTGTATTATATCAGTTTAATCGCGACACGTATCTCCTGGGATAAATAATATATCAAACATTGATATTTGTTATAATATATTGAAATATTTCACACTATAATGATTATAGTTTTTTTTTAACTACAGATACAAATATAACTCTTGTTATCACAGAGCGATATTATATTTGGCAACTACTTATTAATACAATGATTAAAGTACAAATTTGGAACAAAAATTACAACATTTTTAAATTCTATCTAGAGATCAACATATGTATAT